ATACATTCTCCTCGGGTGCACATTTGTCATCTTCAAAGATAGACCATATATTGGGTCACAGACAAAGTCTCTTCAAATTCAAGAAAATTGAAATCATATCAAGTATCTTCTCAGACCACAAAGGCATAAAACTGGAAATCAACTACAACAAAAACAATCCAAAAAAATCAAACTCATGGAGACTAAATAGCATGCTATTAAACAACGACTGGGTCACCAGTGAGATCAAAGAAGAAATAAAAAACATCATGGCAACAAATGACAATGAAAACACAACAATCCAAAACCTATGGGACACAGCAAAAGCAGTCTTGAGAGGGAAGTTCATAGCTCTACAAGCCTACTGCAAGAAACAAGAAACAATGAGAATAAATGACCTAACTCTACAACTCGAAGAATTAGAAAGAGAGCAACAAAAAAAGCCCACTGTAAGCAGAAGGAAGGAAATAACAAAAATCAGAGCGGAGATAAACGACATAAAGACCAAAAAAAAAATACAAAAGATCAACAAAACCAAGAGCTGGTTCTTTGAAAGGATAAACAAGATTGATACACCTCTAGCCAGGCTCACCAAGAAACAAAGAGAGAGGACCCAAATAAACAAAATCAGAAATGAAAGAGGAGAAATAACAACAGACCCCATAGAAATACAAAGGATTGTTAGAAAATACTATGAACAACTCTACTCCAACACACTAGACAACCTGGAGGAAATGGACATATTCCTAGATAAATACAACCTTCCAAAACTTAACCAGGAAGAATCTAAAAATCTCAATAGGCCAATAACTATGGAGGAAATCGAAGCAGTAATCAAAAAGCTTCCAGCAAACAAAAGCCCGGGGCCAGATGGCTTCACAGGGGAGTTTTACCAAACATTCAAGGAAGACCTAAAACCTATCCTCCTCAGACTATGTCAAAAGATCCAAGAGGAAGGAGCACTTCCCAGCTCATTCTATGAAGCCAACATCACCCTAATCCCAAAACCAGATAAAGACAATACAATGAAAGAGAATTATAGGCCAATATCCCTCATGAACATAGATGCCAAAATCCTCAACAAAATCCTAGCAAATCGGATCCAGCAGTACATCAGAAAGATCATACACCATGACCAAGTAGGATTTATCCCAGGGATGCAAGGATGGTACAATATCCGCAAATCAATAAATGTGATACATCACATAAACAAATTGAGAGAGAAAAACCACATAGTCATATCAATTGATGCGGAAAAAGCATTTGACAAAATCCAACACCCTTTCTTGATAAAAACTCTCAGCAAGATAGGAATTGAGGGATCATACCTCAACATAATAAAAGCCATATATGACAAACCCGCAGCCAACATCATAATCAATGGGCAAAAACTAAAACCATTCCCCCTAAAAACAGGAACAAGACAGGGATGCCCCCTCTCACCACTCCTGTTCAACATAGTACTGGAAGTACTAGCCATTGCGATCAGACACGAAGAAGAAATAAAAGGCATCCAGATTGGAAAAGAAGAAGTAAAACTGTCCTTATTTGCAGATGACATGATACTGTACATACAGAACCCTAAAGACTCCATCAAAAAATTATTAGACTTAATAAATGAATTCGGCAATGTAGCAGGATACAAAATTAATGCTAAGAAATCCATGGCATTTCTTTACACCAATAGTGAACTTACAGAAAGTGAAACTACAGAAGCAATCCCATTTACCATTGCACCAAAAAAATTAAAATACCTAGGAATAAACTTAACTAAGGAGGTAAAAGACTTATATGCTGAAAACTACAGGACACTGAAAAAAGAGATAGAGGAAGACATAAACAGATGGAAGAATATACCGTGTTCATGGATTGGTAGAATCAACATCATCAAAATGTCCATACTACCCAAAGCAATTTATAGATTCAATGCAATCCCCATTAAATTACCAACAGCATATTTCACAGATCTAGAACGAACGTTCCAAAAATTCATCTGGAATAAAAAAAGACCCCGAATAGCTGCAGCAATCCTGAGAAAGAACAAAGTAGGTGGGATCTCAATACCAGATATCAAACTGTATTACAAAGCCACTGTTCTTAAAACAGCTTGGTACTGGCACAAGAACAGATATATAGATCAATGGAATAGAATAGAGACCCCAGAAGTCAACCCAAACCACTATGCCCAATTAATATTCGACAAAGGAGGCAAGAGCATACAATGGAGTCAAGACAGTCTTTTCAATAAATGGTGTTGGGAAAATTGGACAGATACATGCAAAAGGATGAAACTAGATCACCAACTCACACCATACACAAAAATAAACTCAAAATGGATAAAAGACTTAAACGTAAGACGGGAAACCATAAAAATACTAGAGGAATCCACAGGCAGCGAAATCGAAAACATATGCCGAAGAAATTTCTTCTCTGATAATGCTCCTAGGGCAATGGAAACTAAAGAGAAAATAAACAAATGGGACTACATCAAAATAAAAAGCTTTTGCACAGCAAAGGAAACCATCAACAAAACAACAAGAAGACCCACTACATGGGAGAACATATTTGCCAATGATACCACCGATAAGGGTTTAATTTCCAACATTTACAGGGATCTCATGAAACTTAACAAAAGGAAGATAAACAATCCAATAAAAAAATGGGCAACGGACCTAGATAGACACTTTTCGAAAGAGGACATACAGAAGGCCGAAAGACATATGAAAACCTGCTCAAAGTCACTAATTATACGAGAGATGCAAATCAAAACGACAATGCGTTATCATCTCACACCTGTCAGAATGGCTATCATCAACAAATCAACAAACAACAAGTGTTGGAGAGGATGTGGAGAAAAAGGAACCCTTCTGCACTGCTGGTGGGAATGCAAACTGGTGCAGCCACTGTGGAGAACAGTATGGAGCTACCTCAGAAGACTAAAAATGGAACTCCCATTTGACCCAGTGATCCCACTACTAGGAATATATCCCAAGAAACCAGAAACGCCAATCAGAAAGGATATATGCACCCCTATGTTCATAGCAGCACAATTCACCATAGCTAAGATTTGGAAACAGCCTAAGTGCCCATCAGCAGATGAGTGGATTAGAAAACTGTGGTACATATACACAATGGAATACTACGCTGCGGTAAAAAAAAAGGAACTCTTGCCTTTTGCAACAGCATGGATGGAACTGGAGAGCATTATGCTAAGTGAAATAAGCCAGTCAGAGAAAGATAAATACCACATGATCTCACTCATTTGTGGATTATAGAGAACAACATAGACTGATGAAAAGGGACAGACCCAAAGACTGAGAAACAGCAATCAGGCTATCAATCCCCAGAAGGAAAGTAGGGGAGGGCGGAGGTAAGGGGAAGAGATCAACCGAAGGACTTGTATACATGTATATAAGCCAAACCAATGGACATGGACAACAGGGGGATCGGAGCATGAGTTTGTGTGTGGGGGGGAGGTTGGGGGTTAATGGGGGGGATGAGGACACATTTGTAATACCTTAACTAATAATAAAAAAATAAATAAATAAAAAAATAAAAAAAAATAAAAAAAATTTATGTGACCGTATTGTCCATGGAGCTCCCGCTTTCATTCTGTTCTGACATCATCCTTCACATGCAAATCGCTGTGCTGGTTTGGCTGTGCAGTCCCTTCGTTTGCACAGTTGTCTGTGTATACCTTCCTTGGTGGTTGTATGTAAGGTGTTTGAAATAAGGTAACTTAATCCTACTGAATAGAATGAAATATGGACATCAAAAAAAATTAGGTTGAAATTATGATATCAAAAGAGATCAGAGACACCGTAAGAGGAGCAGAAAGCATGATCTCCAATGTCGACCTTGGTGCTGAGGATGTCAATACCTGACAAGGTTTTAAAACAAACAAAAGATGAAACGGTAGGTGAGCAATGAGCTAGATTCTCAGTTCAGTTACACCCCGGGCTTCAACGGATCAATCACTAATCAGAACCATAAATTCAGCTGGTTTAGGAGTTTTCCTAGAGTCAGAAATTCCAGCTAAACTATTAGACAAGGGGCACTGATCCTTGGGAACAGAAGTGAGACTTTGAAGAGATGCCGTGTCCCTTTCCCTAACTGCATGCCAACTCAAGCACTGAAATCCGGGCTAGTTTTCAGGCTTCTCTCTCTACATCCGGTCACCAGATGAGTTGACACAGCTTTCCAAGCTCCAGAAGGTTCCGTTCCAGGTTCTCGCTTTTAGAGAGGATTCACAGCAGGAGGAGGATGCATTTGCCACCCATCCCACCAACACCCATGTTAGCCTGGTTCTGGGTGGAAACTATATTGAATCAAACCACATATACTGTCCATACACGGTTAAGGGTGAGAGGTTTGAGAGAAGCACCTGCATACACCAACACTTTCAGACGCACCTCTAAGAATCTGCAAAAGATTCCTCTAAAAACAACAGTATTCAGGTGGTCATTCATTTCTGCGTGGTTTAAAGTTATGACCTTTGGCACACAGCATTAATAACTTAGCCAATTTCTATTCTATAAATGAACATAAAAATCTAACAGCTAAAAATTGTTTGCTACATGATAGGGCCTATCGTTTCCATTTTTTAAAAAGTGGTATTTTAACTAAAAGAAAGACTATGAAACCATAAAGGAGACAAAGAAAGTCTTTCTCTGGATGTCCCAGGAGACATGAAATAATGCAAATGCCAACTAAAAAATGTATACTATTATTCTAAACAGTACAACTAGGACACCGTTACATATTTTGTGGCAATCCTTACAAAACCTCTTTTCTACAAATTGAAAGCAAGAATAAAAATTTTGAGAAGATACTTCCAGGAAAGGTGTGTGTAGAGTGAGTATATAGCCTCATTAAATATTGCCAATTTAAAAAATTAAATTTGGCTGATCATATACACAAATCATCAAAGTTTACATTTTTTTTTTCTGGATGAATTTCAAACGTAATGTCAGTATAACATTGCTATATCATGAGTTACAAAATAATTCATAACAACTCTATAGACCATATGCAAGTTTATTTAAATAATTTAACAGTGCACAGAGAGCTAATTTGTAAGTATAAAAAATAGAGGATTTAGCAACCAAATGTAAACACCACACGGAAACAGATTACACAGACACTATCAGGCCTTTGGGAGATTAAGGCGACATGAATATCTCAAGTAGTTTTATGGGAATACTTTACTCATAGAATAGATGTTATTAAAACATCTCAAAACATTTTTCAGTATGAAGTCTTCCCTTCCAGTTTTCTTGCCAATATATTCTTCTTAAATACTGTACAACGATTAGTCAAGATTGACAAAGGGGCTGTCGAAGCCGCTGTCCTGCTGGCTGGACAGTGGGGCCATCGGCCTTCTCGAAGGTTGCCGATGCGCTGAAGAGGGCTCTGTGCTGCTCAGCTGTTTGAAATCTGCCGCCAATAGATCCGCCTCGGGACGAGCTGGGTGTCCAGGGGTCATGCTGGTCTTCCCCGGCTGGGCATACATGGCTTCTTCAGACAGGTCTGGAGTGCGACCAGCCCGGCACTGCATCGGTGGAGAATTCTTATGATTTTTCTCTTTCTCTGAAAGGCAACCGGCTGCTAAGAACTGTTTGAAATGACCAGCACCGGCGAGCGCCTCCAGGGTGTCGTGCGGCCCTGCGCGGAGAAAGGACGCCTCGGGGCTGCCGAAGGGCAAGGTGGTGCTGCTGGAAGGCCAGCCCAGCGAGGCGCCGGGGTCCCCGCTGTCCTTGACCGGAGCGTCCTCGACACCCAGACCCTCACTTCCGTCCGATTCCCTTTCAGTGAGTGGAACACACTTGTAGACTTTGAAGCCGAGTCTTTCATTAGGACTCCGACAAGTTATGTGTGCGGATCCCGATTCGGAAAGAGCGGGGCCATTTCTCGGCGAGGACTTGCTTCCGAAGGGTCCGAGGAAGGGGTATTCGGCTGCCTGCAGACGCGAGCCCGAGCCGGCGTCACCGAGGAGGTCTTTCTTCCTGTGCAAACCATAGCCCCCTTCGCCTTCCCAAGGGACAAACTCGGGAGAGGCAGCCCCTGGCGACGCGTGCAGATGTTTGTGACTGCAATCCCCGCCCTGAAAGTCTGCACGCGACCCTTTGGGACTCACGTGCTTTGGGCCCCCAAGCTCCGCCGCCTCCAGCCGCCTCCGAAGGTCGCAAGCAGCCCGCCTCTTGGGAACCTGGTCGCACGTACTTTGGGGGAGAGTTTTCATACTGTTTGATTTGCTTTCACTGTGACCCGGTAGAGTCTGGTCCACGTCATTACTTTTTGATTTTTCAACACCAATTATCTCTGAAGTCAGGGGCAGTACTACAATATACAAGGGAACACAAAATTAGGGGAGCGTAAAACTAGGAGAAAGTTAACATTGAAAGAGAAGGACAAAAACTACATTTTTATGTATTCCCAAAGAAGGCATATTTATTTGAATCGCTCTCAGAAATACATCAATGTCAACATGTTAAAATCCTCTTTTACATATATCCATTAGAACAAGGTAGGTAATTTTATTACTGAAATCTGATACAGTATTATTGCTATCCACCGGGTCTATTATTTTCTGCAACAGATGTTACAGCATTTTAAGAACCAACTGTGACATTTCCAGTCCTATTCTGATATGGAGTTTCTGATAAAGAGAGTTGACTGGAAGAACCCCAGTGCCCAACACTCTGCCCACACACACAGCACAAACTAATTGGAGTTTCTCATTTAATCAGCTAAGGCAGCGGTCGGCAAACTCATTAGTCAACAGAGACAAATATCAACAGTACAACGATTGAAATTTCTTTTGAGAGCCAAATTTTTTAAACTTAAACTATATAGGTAGGTACATTGTTATTAACTTAATTAGGGTACTCCTAAGGCTTAGGAAGAGCCACACTCGAGGGGCCAAAGAGCCACATGTGGCTCGAGAGCCGCAGTTTGCCGACCACGGAGCTAATGCATTAAATCTGACCAGAGGCACAGTAGCCACACAGCACAGAATCAGAGGCAACTGCCTCAGAAGAGTACAGCTTGGTCCCCACAGTCCATGAAAAGGGCTTCGACTGGGAACATTATTTGCACATTATTGCTCCAAATCCAGAAAAACCTTTTTCTTATTATATGCGACTGCCCTTTTCTACCCAAGGTTCACATTACCATTCCAAAATTTACACAAATAGTCACATTTACCAATATCAGACTCAGTTTCCTGAACAATTTCTGCCTGAAGCTTCCCAGAGTCCAAATCCCACCCCGCCCCCCTATGTGGAATTTACCAATGCTTTCATGTATTTTCACCAGCTGTTGCTTTACATATTCTAAAGCTTTTTTCTTTTCTTTTTTTAGAAAAAGAAACTATTTACATAGCTTCTTGGGAGGTAAGTCCTTTATCATGAACTTTGGTCCCTTTTAATGCTAAAACTCTGTAATTTTCCTAATATTGCATTTTTCTACTATCAGCACTGCACTTACTAGGTATGTCACCCTCCATCCTTTTATTTTGAATTTTAAATGTTCTTCCTGTGGAAGTAACATATGTCTGGATTTTTAAAAAACCGTTTGCAAGTTGTGGTCTCTTAATAAGTGAGTTTAAGCTATTCACATTTGGTGTGAATGCTGATATTTCAACCAATCATTGTTTCCTACTTACCCATGCTTTCTAGTTGTATTTTTCCTCTTTCTTGATTTTGTTAGATTAAAAACATCATCTTCCAAGTTTTTCCCCTACCAATTTGAAAGTTACATACTCTATTTCTATTTCTCTATTGGTTATCCTTAAATTTCAATACACATACTTAAACCTATATTTTTCTAGCAATGGCTAGAATTACCAGTATCTATATCCTCTCCTTGAAAATAATAAAAATCTTAGCATATTGTTAATTTCCACTACAATATTCTCTTACATTTTTCTGAGCATACTATACTTTTCTAACATTCTCAGGTCCTGCTGTTTGTTCTACGAATTCTATTTCCTTAGGTATAAGTTCTGTTTGTTTTGTTTTGTTTTGTTTTATTTTGAGTTTGGTGCCTTTTTTCATGGTACTGGCTTTCTATAAACATGTGATGATTCTTGGTTGAATGCTTACCTTTCAGATGTCCTCAATGAGCTGTTTTGCTGTTGGTTTAAAGAAGTTGAGAATGGCATGGGAAGAAATGAGCTGCAGGGTAGAAAGACCTAACACCTGGTACTCTGGCCCTGGCCAGGTGGCTCAGTTGGTTGGAGCATTGTTCCATACACCAAAAGGATGCAGATTTGATTCCCAGTCAGGGCACATACCTAGGTCATGGGTTTGATCCCCAATAGGAGTGCATTTTGGGAGGCAACTGATCGATGTTTCTCTCTCACATCAATGTTTCTCTCTTTCTTTCTCTATCAAATCAATAAACATATCCGCAGGTGAGGATAAAAAACATTAAATTAAAAAAATACAAAAGCTGGTCCTCTGAGCATGTGGGCTCCCACTCCGCGCCCCCTTGGTGTGGCTGGCCACCCAGAGCACTGCCCTGCTTCCAGGCCCTTCTTCCTGTTGCTCTGACCCAGCCCAGTATTGTGGTTGGGGAAGGGAGAGGAGGAGAAATGAAGAGGGTGACCCCACCTGGATCCTGCTGTTCTAGAACCCCAACTAGTTTTCCTGGTGGGAGGGCCCAGACTTACTTCTCCTGCAACATCACCACCTTCTTCTGTGGGACAGTTCTGATATTGCTCCTGCTGTGGCTGTCATCTCTGGCAGTTCTGAACTGAGGCTCCCCTCCTCAATCTTCTACTGTCTTTCTTTCAGGATTTCTCATGGTTTCTGGCCCACCAATCACACTTTTCTAAGCCCAGTTATAATTTCTTCTTTTATAGTTGTTGTTTACCATCTTTTCTACCATTTCTAGGGTTGGAAGCAGCAAAAGGAAGCTGATGGGTTTGCTGAGTCTGCCTACTTGAGCTGGAAACAACATTGTTTTGCACATTTCCAGTTTAAGTAAAAAACACACAGAGGTTAATAAATTACCTCTCACTCCCTACATTTCCTGTGGGTTTTTTTTTTTTTTTCATTTGAAAAATATTAAGTATCAAAAAAAGAGAGAGAGAGAGAGAAAATCCCTCAAGTGACTCATGTTGACATACCTGACGCTGTGGTTTTGCTCTGGGATCTGTTTGCAATAGGTGTTTCCAGCAGCTTTGCCATTGTAGCAAGTTTGCTAGCAGCATTCATAATCTTTTTCTCAGCTCTGTGGGAATTCCAGAACATTAAATTAATATAGTTTAAGGGGAAAAATGAGTTTCCTTCACTCCAGGACTTTTGTTTTCCTATTAGCTCTGCCAACATTAGGGCAGCACAGCCTTTGAGCCTCTCTTAACCCCAATGGCTGGTCATGTAGAAACAGTTAATAGCGTGATTAAGCAAAATGCTTAAAAAACAACATGCGTCATGGTACTCTAAGGACACGATGCTTGTTTAAGCTTACCCCTCCTGTTTCCCATTATCCTGCAAGATCTGTTGGAGGCAGGTCAAATAGTACGTGCGCATCTTACGGATGGTTTCTTGACGTTCTCGCAACACCTCTGCCTTGACCATTTCCGCAGCTCTCTCCTTACTCTCCCGAATGTACCGCAGCATGTCACCTGCGGGCAAGGGGGTGGGGTGAGGGGTTGGGGTGCAGAGAAATCCCCACAGAGGCACGTTTGTTACCAGTTCTTTAAAAACAAGAGAAGCAGACTTCAGACCAATTTTCTAAGAGATGAACTGATTACAGGTATAATTTAGACACTGCACTTTTCCACAGTCATTAAAAGGGAATATTTCCGATCACTATTTTGGTAGACTCAAAGGCAAAGGAATCTAAAAGTCTTCCCAGAATGATGACAGCCACATATGGTAAGGACACAGAGCACATTCCCCAGGGAGATTCTGTCCTCTTCTAAAACATTGAGATAAGAAAAAGCATAAACACAGGGTGGGGCAAAAGTAGGCTTACAGTTGTTCATATGGAAAATACAATAATTCAGAAATAATGGCACAAGGATAAAGTTTCACATACAACTGTAAACCTACTTTTGCCCCACCCTGTATGCTTTTTACTTGTCTATTAGGTCTGATTAAAAGAGAAAAAGAGAAATATACAGGAAAGGGGAGCCAGAAAGGAGGAGATAGCAGACACAGAAGGAGGCAAAAGGAGCTGAAGAGACGCAGAGTCTCCTGTTTCCTTGTGCTCTGAAAATCCGTGTTTCATCATGTATTCAATCCTTTCAGCACCAGTGAGCATCCAACAACATGGAATCTCACCATCATGAGAGAGAGGTGCACAGTGCTACTGCAGGGAAAGGAATGGGACTCTCGTTGCCTTCTGAATTCACATTTAAAATAGTCCACAAGCTTTCGAAATCTCTTTTTATCTGTAACTCGACATGCTTTGATTGGGAGTACCTTTAGCTAAGGTTGACTTTTGTTACCAAGCCCAGGCCTGCATCCTCCATCTAGAATATCAACACCCCTGTTATATTAAGGATTCCAATTCACAGAGGACAGTAAGCTTGTCCTAAAAATCACATGTTCTCTGCAAAAATACTAATAGACTACTTTTCACTACCTGAAGTGGAAAAAATGAAAACAAAGTACATGTCAACACAAAATTTCCAACCAACTTCTAAAATGTAAACACGCACACACACGTTATATTAGGGTGAGAAAAATACTTAAAACGTCACTTCCCCATTAATATGACTGGTAACAAAAATCGCCTTGTTTGTAGTAATAGAGCCTCTATTAATATAAGCGGCAACTGAGAAGCAAATCCTCTTAAACTGATACTAAATGGGCTCTTCGATCTACCAATTATATTCGGAACTTGAAACCTGCTCCACTCCTTTGTTAAAAATGAATGCAATATTAGGACGTAAATATACATTTCTTCTATATAAGTGTTGGCTATTGTTCTGGGACACACACATTCTATGCAATATTTATTGTAATTAAAAACCAGGAGGTATCCGTGCTACTAGGAAAACATAACTGAAGAAACGCTCTGCGGGGGGTGCTGCACCACCTAGGACTGTAAAGGACTTGACAAACAAATACATCTACAACTTAGTCCATTGTCAAAATAATGAGAAACCAGAGAACGACTCCTAACTAGATCCATTTTCCCTGGTCCTTAAAAGTTGATGGTAGTAAAAAGTAATTTAACACTCAGGTGACAGTTTCGTTGCTACCAGTTAAATTATAAGATTGTAACATTTTTAGTTTAATATCAGTGTCCAAAAAAGAAACAGAATAATCAACAATATAAAACAACTCTATCCTCTATGTCACTTCCAAAAGAAATTATTCGGGCAAAATGATCCATTACTGTTTAATTAAGAAAGGTACTGCCCTAACCGGTTTGGCTCAGTGGATAGAGTGTCAGCCTGCGGACTCAAGGGTCCCAGGTTTGATTCCGGTCAAGGGCATGTACCTTGGTTGCAGGCACATCCCCAGTGGGGAGTGTGCAGGAGGCAGCTGATCGATGTTTTTCTCTCATCAATGTTTCTAACTCTCTAGCCCTCTCTCTTCCTCTCTGTAAAAAATCAATAAAATATATATTTTTTTTTAAAAAAAAAAAAAAAAGAAAGGTATCAATGTTCTCTTATGCAAGCTGGTAAGAGTCTAGGACAAAGTAGCTTGAAAAATTCCCAAAAATTACTTTTGTCAGTAACAAAAAGGCCCAAACCAATTGAAAATCGTAGGACTCTCTCAGGGGACTTACGCTTGATTTTTTTCACTGCTCTAATATACTGCTCACGAAGCTCTTCCATGGCCCCCTGACTGCACGGCAGGCAAGCCTGTTCAATGGCCCCTTCTGACAATGACCTAAACAGAAACAGCGCAGGTTGTAAGTGGAAAACTTCTATCTATAAATTCCAATAAGATAAACTGGAACGTGCTTAAAAGTTCACACAGGAGAATCTTTATTATATAGTTAGTTAAAATAGGAGAAAAATGAAAACAACTGAAATGTTATGGTTACTTAAGTAAGTCGTGGTAAATCCACATGGTGAAAATCAATGCAGCATATTATAGAGTAGTATATAATGAGGTGGGGAAATGTTAATAAAGATTACAAAATAGCTTTTACAGTGTTCTCAACTTTTAAAACATGTACACATGGTATGTGTATACGAAAGAGCCTAAATGATATAAAACAATAGGTTAAGAGAGGGTATCCTAGGGATAGGATTTGGGAAGATTTTCCTCTCTTTTATGCTTTGTGCCACACAGTTCTGCACCACGTAATGACCAGGGCGTGTTCTGGAAAATGTGTCAGTAGGCAGTTATCATTGTGCAAGCATCACAGAGTGGCCTTCCGCAAACCTGGATGGAGAGCCTACTACAAACCTAGCCTATAGTCAGCCTGTTGCTCCTAGGCTCCAAGCCTGTACACCTGTCACTGTACGGAGCAGCATGAGATTAAATCAAGCACAAGAAATAATGATGCAACCGAGAAACATAATAAACGTAAACCAGTAACATAGTTATTACCATTACCAAGTATTATGCACTGTACATAATTTTATGTATTATATGTTTGTATGACTCAGCAGGTTTGTTTACACCAGCATCTCCACAAACACGTGAATAAAGTGTTGCATTTCAACAGCTATGAGGTCACTAGGAAGAGGAATTTTTCAGCTCCATTATAATCTAACTAGAGGCCCGGTGCACAAAATTCATGCATGGTGGGGAGGGTCCCCTCAGCCCAGCCTGCACCCTCTCCAATCCGGGACCCCTCAGGGGATGTCTGACTGCTGGTTTAGGCCCGATCCCCAGCAGTCAGACATCCCTCTCACAATCTGGTACTGCTGGCTCCTAACTGCTCACCTGCCTGCCTACCTGATTGCCCCTAACTGCCCCCCCTGGCAGCCTGATCACCCCTAATTGCCTCTGCCTGCTGGCCTGATCGCCCCTAACTGCTCCCCCTGCTGGCCTGGTCACCCAACTGCCCCCCCCCCCAACAGCCTGGTCACCGCTAACTACCCCCTCCACTACCGGCCTGGTCGCTCCTTACTGCCCCCCCCTCCCCCCCGCCCAGCTTGGTTGCCCCACACAGCCTGCTGTTCAGTCATTTGGTCATCCCTCATTAAACCCCCTGCTGGCCTTGTAGCCCCACGCAGCCTGCTGTTCTGTTCAGTCATTACTGTTACTGTGAGAGCATCTCAGACAATTTGCATATTCCTCTATTATTAGTATAGACTAGAGGCCTGGTGCACAAAAATTTGTGCACTTGGGGGATCCCTCAGCCTGGTCTGTGCCCTCTCACAGTCCGGGACCCCTCGGGAGATGTCCACCTGCTGGCGTAGGCCCACTCCCCGGGGGTAACGGGCCTAAGCTGGCAGTCAGACATCCCTCTGGCAGCCCGGCAGCCCTCGGGGGATGTCCACTTGCCAGTGGGGAGCAGGCCTAAGCTGCAGTCGGACATCCTTAGTGCTGCTGAGGAGGCAAGAGAGGCTCCCACCACCACCGCTGTACTGGCAGCCGTCAGCCTGGCTTGTGGCTGAGCAGAGCTCCCTCTGTGGGAGCGCACTGACCACTAGGGGGCATCTCCTGCATTGAGCGTCTGCCCCCTGGTGGTCAGTGTGTGTCATAGTGACCAGTCATTCCCAGTTGTTCTGCTGTTAGGGTCAATTTGCATATTACCCTTTTATTATATAGCAGTGGTTCTCAACCTTCTGGCCCTTTAAATACAGTTCCTCATGCTGTGACCCAACCATAAAATTATTTTCGTTGCTACTTCATAACTATAATGTTGCTACTATTATGAATCATAATGTAAATATCTGATATGCAGGATGGTCTTAGGTGACCCCTGTGAAAGGGTCATTCGACCACCAAAGGGGTTGCGACCCACAGGCTGACAACCACTGTTATATAGGATAGAGGCCTGGTGCATGGGTGGGGGCCGACTGGTTTGCTCTGAAGGGTGTCCCAGATCAGGGTGGGGGTCCCGCTAGGGTGCCTGCTCAGCCTGGGTGAGGAGCTGATGGCTATTTTCAGGCTGGTCAAGCCCCCCAGTGGGGACCCTCACCCCATGGGGGTGTGGCCAGCCTGGGTGAGGGGCTGAGGGCTGTTTTCAGGCTGGCCATACCCCCTTCAGGGTAGGGGTCCCGTTGGGGTGCCTAGCCAGTCTGGGTGAGGGGCTGATGGCTGTTTGCAGGCTGGCCACAGCCCCTTCAGGGTTTGGGGGCCCTACTGGGGTGCCTGACCAGCCTGGGTGAGGGGCTTATGGCCGTGTTCAGGCTGGCCACGGCCGCGGGCTGGAAGCAGGTATCTGGGATTTATTTAACTTCTATCATTGAAACTTTGTAGCCTTGGTCCCGCTCAAAGCCTGGGTTGCCCCTGGCAACCCATGTTCCCAGCCCCTCCTTGAGCAGAGGCCACAGTGGCTGAAAGCAGGTATGTGGGATTTATTTATCTTCTATAATTGAAATTTTGTAGCCTTGAGCGGAGCTCAGGGCTGGCCAGGGCAGGCTGGAAGCTTGGCTTCCTCCATTGCTGGGGGCAACTTAAGCCTCCTGCTCACTCCAGCTCTGTGGCCGCCGCCATCTTTGTGACGGACTGGCAGAGTGAGAGAGTGATGGTTAATTTGCATATTACTCTTTTATTAGATAGGATAGGACTACTGTCATATATGAAGTCCATCATTAAGCAAAATGTTGTTACATGGCATAGGGCTATATAACAATGACAATTATTGATTTTCCTGGTATATTATCGACACAATTGATATAGTTTAAAGATACTTAGAAATAAGCAATTTCTTTAAAATAGTAAAAGTATACCTTGGTGGTAAGTTACAAAGTGTTCTCAGTTCTTCCAATTTACTCTTCATGTCATTGTTTTCTTCTATTAATTCTTCAACAACTTTACTATTCTCTTCTAAAAAAGAAGTTTATAGAATATTGATCAATTAATCTCTTTTTTTCTCAGCCTCCTGTTCCCTTATGTTCACAACCCAAATGTTTATGGAGGAAACTACAGCATTTCCAGTTGCTCCCTGTGCCATTCATTCCCTGATGAGCCCTAACCTGACCACTCCTGTTCTGATTTCTTAGCACTTAAAAATCTGTGCTGCTTGTTTATCTTGCTTCGGGTTACACACTGCTCTGCAAGGGTTTCCAATTGTTTCAGAGGCATCTCTTTTGTTTTCCAGCTAGACTGAAGCTCTGCAGAAAATACTAGGTTTTCTAATTCCTGGTTCCCGTGGATCCTGGTGTACAGTCTATGATCATATCAATGATCACTGAACAAGCACCTCAAAACAACATTTTTTTAAAAATCAAGCTTAAGAAGCTGCTGTTTTCAGAACAAAGGTCAGATTTTTTAATTCCTTGAACTTTAAAAAAGATGAGGAGACTGATGGAGTCCATGAATTTCAGTCAGTGACACGGGTTTAAATACTAACTCTACTTCTTACCAGTTGGATGAGCTTAGGCAAATTTCTTAAACTATCTGAACCTGAGTTTTTTCATTGGAAAAATGGGGATAGTATTACCTACTTTGAAGATTATAACAGAGATAAAACAATAAGTGCACAGCACTGTACATGGGTTTGGCAATACCACTGTTCAGGAAGTACAAACCTGGCACTGCATGTATCCTACTCTTAACCCTCTCGTTACACCCCATACATTGGGGAACGATTCACTCTATTCCCCCTAGTGATTGATGCTAACTTGTATATTTTTAAACCGTTCATTATTACTCTATCACTTTCCAATAAATGCTACCAAGACAGTGGAAAGGGAATTTAAGAAACAAAAAGGAAGCAACCACAATAGCAAAAACATTATCAACAGATTTACATTAAGACAAACACTAAAATGAAACTATTGAATGACTTAAATTCTGACCCTGACCCCCTTTTTCAGCCATTGTTTTGAGCTAATCACCAACTTCCTTGGATTATTTCTAAGTGCACAAATTACAAAAGAGATCTACCTCAAAAAGCAATGGGTAGCCCTAGCTGGTTTGGCTCAGTGGACAGAGTGTCCACCTGTGGACTGAAGGGTCCTGAGTTCCATTCCAGTCAAGGGCACATACCCAGGTTTCAGGCTCAATCTCCAGTAGGGGAGTGTGCAGGAAACAGCCAATCAATGACTCTCTCTCATCATTGATGTTTCTTTCTCTCCCTCTCCCTTCCTCTGTGAAATCAATAAAAATATATATATATTTAAAAAGCACTATGTAGAATAATGATTTTATGATCACAATGAATGGTGCTAAATATTATTTATAAATAACACATTGTATGCGGGAAACGTATTTATACGTTTTACATATTTATACGTTCTACCAGTGTAGTAGAGCGCGGAACACATATTAATACGTTTTTTATAGACTAGCGGTAGAATGCGGGTAACGTATAAATATGTAAACTAAAGTTATCGTAATTTTACTGAACGTTGCCATTTGCGCAAAAAATTAGCAAAAATGGCCCACGCCACCTGTTAGCGTGCGATAAAAACTACCCGCAAACAATGTGCTAATAATCACACCCAACTGCCCCTGTCATTTTACTCTATAAAACAGATATTGCTGGTTTTCACCTAATTTTACAGTAGCTACATTGTATCTACATCTACAGTTGAACAGTTAAACTAAATAAGTAAACAATCACTATATAGGAGTTATAACTGTTAAAGTTTTTTTCTCAAAATTCTTAAAACGCTTTTTGCCTTAGAGTAATTATCACCTACTAGAGGCCCAGTGCACGAATTCGTGCATAGGTAGGATCTCTCAGCCCGGCCAGCCCAGCAGGGTGGGCAAGTGGTAGGGACCAAGGGAGGTTCACCAGCCGGCCCCACCCCCATTCGGGGACCATCAGGGCCAGGCCAGCTGGGGGAGAGACCCCAGGAGGTTGGTTGGCCTGGGCAGGGACCGGGGGAAGCTGGCTGAGGGGGGAGGGACCACAGGAGATTGGCTGGCCAGGGGGAGGGGCTACGGTTGGTTGGCTGTGGGAGCACACTGACCACCAGGGGGCTCCTGCATTGAGCGTTTGCCCCTGGTGGTCAGTGCGCATCATAGCGACCAGTCATTCGGTCATTTGGTCGTAACGGTCACTTAGGCTTTTCTATGTATAGATCTTTAACAGACTTAGCAAGCAGTAGGAGGATGTAGATGGCTTCTCTTAGGCAACGGTGTTCACAGTGTGTGCTGATGCCAGACACTGTGCTAAATGCTGGTCCAGGACTTGGTCCTTGTCACCATGAAGTCTCTACTCCTTTGGAGAATATAAACATCCAATAACTCCAAGGATGATGACTGTTATAAAAATCACAGGTGGTGGGAAGACGTCTATCAGAAGAACCTAATCAAGTCTGGTGGCTGGGATTACCTCCCTGAGGAAGGCATGCACTGAGAGAGAGATGCGGAGGAGCTAGCCAGGCAATATGGTCAGGATGGTAGGACAGATGTTCTGGGAAAAGGAGGGAATGCAAAGAGGTCCCGAGGAAAGAGACAATGAAATCCATGCTATGGCTCTATGAATGGGTATGTGGACTGGGGAAAGAGGAAGCCGGAGGGGCTAGCAGATGCTCGGTCATGAAGGGCTTTTTAGACTCTTTAATTAAGTATTTGTATGTCTCACTGAGGACCACATCCAGCCCCTACTGGGCTTTAAGAGAATGGTGACCCAATTTACTTTGTAAAAGGTTGCTCTAGCTCAGTGATGGTGAACCTATGACACACGTGTCAGAGGTGACTTGCACACTCATTTTTTTGGTTGATTTTTCTTTATTAAATGGCATTTAAATATATAAAATAAATATCAAAAATATAAATCTTCGTTTTACTATGGTTGCAAAGATCAAAAAAATTTCTATATGTGACACGGCACCAGAGTTAAGTTAGGGTTTTTCAAAATGCTGACACACCAAGCTAAAAGGTTCGCCACCACTGCTCTAGCTACCTGAAGGAGAACAGATGAGAGGGGCAAGAGTGGAAGCAGACTCAGGAAGTGACTGAGGTTGCCCAGGAAAGCAAGAGGTGAATGTAGAAAAAACAAAGTAAATCTATCCGCCTGGTCTTTTATGGATGATGCAATTATTTGGAGTCCATGGATTCAGGCTTTCATTCATTCAGACATTTACTATTGTCTGGTATGTAGTGGGCACCATGACAACAAGGGTGAATAAGACAAAACATTCCTTATCCTCAGGGTACTTACAGGAGTAAAAGAAAATTCCTGACCAGTTCAAGAATCTGAACTATTTCAAATGTAAAGAATATACAGAGCACAGAATATAAGTGAAGAGTGAAAGGTAAGAGGGTGCACCCTCATAAGCTCAATAGCTTCCTTTCTTATAAGGGCAATAGAAAATGGCAGAAATGCCCGTTTAAACAATTTCCCTGAAAACACTGAAAAATGGACTGGAAGGCAAACAGGTCAGACCCAGGCACCTTTGTTCACACCTTTGCCCTCTGCCTAGAATGCTGTTCTCTCTGGCAAAGACCTTCGCCTTTCACGGCTCAGTCAAGCCTCCCTTAACTCTAAACAGGAGGAAGAGTTAATTAACATCTTTTCTTCCAAGTTTACACAAACATACTGCCAGTAGCACTCAATGCTGCAATTATTAACTTGTTTTCAATTCTCCTCCCTTGATAAGAAGCTTCTTGAAGGAAAAGAACAGTCTTGCATATCTCCATCTAAACTGGAATTCTGCCTGATGCATTTACTGCGATATCGCCAGTGCCGACAATACTGCCTGACACATAATGGGCACTCAGTGTCTCTTCAATCAAAACAGGAAGAAAGGAGTGTGACCTTTTCACCAGAGCTCCAATTTTCCTCTTTTGAGCTCAGTAGTAATTTGGTGAGTAAAAATAAGGTCCAAATTAGTCTACATTAACTCCCAAAGAGAACCAGTGCCTGTTAAGTAAAAGTTCACATTTGAACATGTCAACAAGGGTCAGAGAGATTCCTACTGGTAGCAATGCCGCCTTAAATGCTAACCTCCGATTTTTTCCACTACGGCTTTGTGCTTCCTTTCTAAATACTGAAGGTGCCGACAGCATTTCTCCAGTTTTCTTTTCAGATCTTGACATTCCTGCTTTGCCTTTTCAAGTTCTTGGAAGCTGTGTCCACAGCATGAACCTTTAATCTCAGGGACCTTTTTCTTATCTGCAAAAATTAAATGACAGCAAACCTTTATATCAATTTAGACTAAGAACTACAAGGAAGGGAAGGAGGGAGGGTACGAGGGCGGGAGGGAGAGAGGGATGGAAGGAGGGAAAAAGGAGATCAAATGACATAACTAGAGGCTACAGTATAACTGGAAAAAGTATGATGCTTAAGAGAAAGACTTGGGTTTAAATCCTGTTTCCACTATTTACTGGCTGTGTGACTCGGAGAATATTACTTAACCTCTCTGAGACTTGGTATTTTAATGTGCAAAACTGAATAAAACCATCTATTTTAAATTGTTATGAAAAATAATGCTCAGACTTTAGTATTGAATACCATTCCCCACTAAAAAGGACCTCAAATCTTCAAGAGATGACTGACTCTAGTACCGGGAAAGGGTATGTACAAGATGAGGCTAGAGTATTTTGCTATACCAGAAAGTAAGAAATTACTCAAATATATAGCATGTCCCAAGGACATGGGAGCCAGTTTGAAGAAGCTCCACTAGCTAAATCTGGGACAATTTGAACACTTAGTATAGTAATGAATTATAAAACATATTTTAGTCTGGCTGGTGTGGCTCAGCGGTTGAGCATCGACCCAGGAACCAAGAAGGCACCAGGCACATGCCCGGGTGTGGGTCCATCCCTAATAGGGGCATGCAGGAGGCAGCTGATTGATGATGGTCCTCTCTCATCAATATTTCTCTCTCTCTCCCTTCCTCTCTCTCTAAAAAGTCAATAAAACGTATATTTAAAATATATGTTTTTTTAAAAATATGAATTCATGGTTCATACCAATAATCCTACCAAAAATGGGATAGATGGATGGATGGATGGATGGATGGATGGATGGATGGACGGACAGATGGATATGTAGGCAAGTTGTAAGTAGATAGGCAGATGGATGGGTGGACAAACAGATAAATAAATAACTACGCAAACTGGAGGGGAGCAGTCTTTAACAGTATTGGTAATCTTCTATTTCTTAAGTCTTAAAGTGGGTTCCTGGTCGTCAGCCCTCGTAACTTATGTGATCATTACATGTATTTTTTGTATGTGTCAAGTATTTAATAATGTTTAAATTACTTTTAAAAATAATGAGATATTGGAAGACTATAACCAAATAGTCAACAGTGGCACTCTGGGAGTAAGATTGTAAAGGACTTTATCTCTTACTATATGTTTTGGATTATTTAATCCTTTCTAATGAATTTGTTAATGTGTTGTTTTTAGGGGGAAAGACTAAAGAAAGAAAAATAAATTTGTTTATAGTCTGATTTGACTTAGTCCAATTTCTTTCATATTGACAGGATTTCTCAAAGCCAAACTACTCATTTCACACACACAAATATGATTCTCAGGCCATTCCAAATATGATAACAGACATAAAATGACACTGAAAAGTAAGAAGCAAGATATAAATTAAGGTGGTATTACCACGCACCTAATGAGCAATTAGATATTCACAACCATCTAGAACCTAGAAGTAAGGGAAAAAGATCTATGAACAATGAGAAAAATACTGTTGACTGATTTCTCAGGCAAGGCAGGGGTTCTCTAAGGATCCTGGTAATACTGCCTACTGAATTAGAAATGTGTGAAAACTAAGGTTATTGGTTTAGTACATATGATTTGCTCTGGCAAGTCTTAGTTCTTTTCAGGTTACAAACAGAGAGTGTGTGCATGTGTTGGTATGTGGGGGAAGAAGCAGGCTGCAAGGGGCCCCCTATTAGGGATGAAAGCTACTAAAAGACATGCCAAGCCTCGCTCAAAAGCTCAGTGAATAGAAGCCCTATGGTCCTCTGTGACCTCTGAAAACTTCAAGGGGCTGCAGTGCAGCACACCAACTCTTCTTCATAATGACAATTCTAAGTATTAAGGAAAAGTTAAACTGTCAATTCATCAAATGCTCAAGGACCGCAAATTCTGTGTCATTCACTCTGCCATGTGTTAGGAAGGAAGAGATAAAAACATTGCCCCTGCCCACAAGAAACTCACAAATAAATCAGAAAACACCTAATACACTTCAGGAACATTTCCATTAAAAAAATGGTTGAGCCCTAGCCGGTTTGGCTCAGTGGATAGAGTGTTGGCCTGTGGACTGAAGGGTCCCGGGGTCGATTCCAGTCAAGGGCACATGCCTGGGTTGCAGGCTCGATCCCCAACGGGGGGCCTGCAGGAAGCAGCCAATCAGTGATTCTCTCTCATCACTGATGTTTCTACCTCTCCCTCTCTCTTCCTCTCTGAAATCAATAAAAATATATTTTAAAAAAAGAAAAATATGGTTGAAATAAAACAGTAATGTGAATGAAAAAGTGTCCGCTATTTGTCAATTTTCTTATGTGAAGCCCTTGATTTCTCAATAAAGCCAGGGAATAAAAATATGACTGTGCCATTAAAATTCTCATTGTTCTCCTTCTAAACAGAATCACTTCCGGATGGAGGGAAGGCCATGAAAAATAGACATAAGAGGGCCGAGGGCAACTTTGTCTTCTAAATGCAAAATGAAATCTAGGGGGAGGACACACATCAAGTAGGAGTAACATTACGCATTTGTTCACTCAAAAACTAGATACATCTTTGCTCTCCTTTTATTTTCAAAGCAACCCCCTGGAACTGTGGTTATGGATGTTACAAAGATCAGCAGGAATCAAACCCCATTACCAGCTTCTGCTTCTGTTTGTTTTGAGGCCGAGGTCTGAGCATGGTGTCCGGACGTGGGTGTAGGAAGGATGACCAAGGTTCCAGGGTCTCCTCGGCCGGTGACACCCATGTTTCTCTGAAACAAATTAGCTTTATAGTTATTGCCTAGTAAAAGTCTTCACACAATTCTCTATTTAACATGCTAATATTAAACACACACACACACACACACACACACACACACACACACACACACAAAACACACACAAAAACCCATCACCCTGAAACAAATCCTGCCTAAACTATCACCAATATTTTTCTATGGTGTTAATGTGAATACTGTCATTACGACGAACTAGTCTCTCTAATTTTCCTAATTAGAACATTATCTGGCAGAGGACTGGCGGCCAACTATGAGACAGGAGATACATATGAATTTGAAGTATTTTAATAGTTTATGTGATCAAACCATTGGACTAGGTGAAATCAAAATTGCTCTTGAAAATCCAGAACATTTTCACTGCAGCAGGAATCAAATTCATTAGAAATTGCAATACCGATCTTTTGCCTTCCATGAATTGAAAGTAAAATAACAGTAAAAATATTTTTTTAACTTAGATAAGTATGCTATATATTTCTAAATATTTTAATATATGCTACCATTTTGAAAGAAAGGTCAGTTAAATTCCAATGTTAAAAAGAGAAACTGAGGCTCACCTAAATGAAGCACCTTGCACAAGACCATTTCTTCACTAACCCGTATCGAACACTTTCTGCATTCTAGTCCTGTTACAGGCAATACAGCCACTATACTAATTTGTGGTGAGACATTCTTTTAAAGTAGTATTTTCAGATTTTGGACAACTACTAAATCCCAAAGAATGATCTTGAGAGGGCTGTCTTGTTTAATTACTTAAAACACATTATATATGCTTGATTCTAGAAGCCTTTATTTTGATTATGAGAAACTCACTTAACTGTCAGGAAACCTACCTACAATGCCCACCACAAGCAGAGATCAGCAAGTAAAGAGAAGAGGCAAATTCTGAGCATTCAAGAGGACACAGATGGGGTTGAGCCAAAAGGAGTAACAAAGGTGGAGCCCCCAAACAGTCAATGTTTCCAGTTTCTACTCAAAACTGGAGAAAAGCTAAGATAACACAAAAAATTTAGCAAGCACTTTTTGGTCTTAGCTTTTACTTGACTGTGGTGGTAAGAAAAGATAGAATGCACATCCTTTAGTCTGTTTGAAATTTTTATTCCAATTGATATTTCTCTTTTCTTTTATCAACTATGAAATGTTGTGTTAATATATTTTGATATGGCATTCATTTCCTTGGACACTTGATTTTTAATTCATTTCATCCTTTCCATTTTATTTATTTATTTAGTTTTTAAATATTCTTATTGATTTCGGAAAGGAAGGGAGATGGAGGAGAGATAGAAACATCAATAATAAGAATCACTGATCAGCTGCCTTCTGCATGCCCCTTACTGGGGATCAAGCCTGCAACCTGGGCATTTGCCCCTGATTGGAATCAAACCTGGGACCCTTCAGTCTGCAGGCCATGCTCTATCCACTGATCCAAACCAGCCAAGGCCATCCTTTCCATTTAAAAAAAAAACCCCTTTGATCATCTAAATTATTTTAACAAGACTTATTTTATATGTACCTGTAGATCAGTGTTTCTGTTTTAATTTTCATGAACAGCTCTAAAAACTATAAATTTAATAAATCATCAATCACAGCTCTTCACATTTATGGCACCTATATTGCAAATTTATAATCACTGCTTTACCTCAAGGTTCTGAAATGAGTTAACTTTAAAAGAGCAAAATTCAAGTATTACTCCTTGACAAATGCCAGATTAGGCATTTCAAAGCCACCCTTTTTCAGGAATGGAATCTGATCCCACCCAACTAAAGCCGCAAAAGTCTAAGTTCTTAGCCAAATTACGTGATTCTGTCTCCAGAGACATGTAAGCCACATTGAGTCATACAAATGATCTTACACTGTTTGCACAATTATAAGTCCTATAAAAAGACCCCGGGTTTGATTACATATTAATGGTAGAAGAAAGGTGTTACATTTTCTTGATTTTTTTATAGCAGAAATCGCCTTTTCAGGAAAGTAAACTCGAAAGCATACATAATATGATTTTCCCATCACTTATCATTAAAAGCTCCTATGGATAATTCTTCTTATTTTAATTATCTATTTTTTCCCAAAACTCTCAATAGAATATTATAAGCATTATTCATGGGAAGGAGTCTCACCCAATTATTCTTAAGTTGAAAGCAACTAGTAAGTAATAATATCTTTTGAAATCAATAATTTAAAATATCAGATTTGAGCTGTAGAGAAGATGGCGGCATAGGTAAACGTGGTACTCGCCACCTCCCACAACCCATCAAAATTACAACTAAAATACAGAACAACCATCATTCAGAACCGCTTAAAATCTGACTGAATAAAAGCCCTCCAACTAGAAAATTTAAAGAAACCACACTGAGACTGGTAGGTGGGGCAGAGGCGCAGAATGGGCTGGTCCAATACGTGTTTTCAATTGGGATGGAAATCTTGGCTGAGAAGGCCTCCTCTGAGGAGCAAGGGTCCCAGCTCCACATCAAAACTGTCAGCCCAGGGTTCCAGTGCTGGGAAGAGAAGTCCCCTTAACTTTGGGCTGGAAAAACCAGCAGGAATTGTGGCTAAGTGACACAGAGGCTGCCTGAGATCCAGGCAGTTCCTCTTAAAGGGCCCTTGCACAGACTTACTCCCCCTGAGCTCCAGTGCTGGGCAGCAGCTTGAAAGGATCCAGGGACATATGAGGAGGAACTAAATTGTCTAGCATCAGGGCAAGAACTTGGCGGGCAGCTATCTCCTAAACAAAAGTGCTGGCAGAGGTCATTGTTTTCCTGCTGAGATCTCCCCCCACACAGAGCTGACTGGCAGGTGCTCCATTATTCTGGCCAACATTGTTCAACTTGGTGATTCCCTGAGATCCCACCCCACCCAATTTGCAGCCCCACCCAACCTATTTGCAGTGGCTTTTTTTATATTAATGGTCTGTTCTGGCTCAGGCTTCAGATTTTACTAAAATCTCTCAAATAAGCAGCAGCTGGACTTGGTGTGCCCCATACCTCTCAATAAGTAGCCCCAGGCCTGGCACTAGCAGCAACTTGCCAAGGTTCACAGCTTGGCCTCTCCTGGACACCTCCTAGCACAACACAAGTAGCAGCCATCTGCAGATTGCTCTGTAGTTCATGCCAGGTGGCCCCAGGCAAGGGACAAGCAGTGGCTGACTTTGCACCTCCCGGGAGGCCCCAGAGCCATTGCACTTGGTGGAAAGCTTCAGACCACACCAAGTTACAACTCTACCACATCTAAAGTGACAACTCAAAGGGAGGACTCAGTGAGCACCAAAGCCCCACTGAAGCAAGTCCTGCTCCATAGGGGTGTCTCCTGCACAGCAGCTCTTCCACTGTAGTCACAGCTAGTCCTCACAGCCAATTGGCCTGGGGGTCAATTCCTCCCAGTGATTCCAACAGTAATCAAGGCTCAACTACAACAGGACACAGCCCACACAGGAGCACACCTAGAGTGCCCAGCTCAGGTGACTGGGTATGCTGAGCCACTGGGCCCTACAGGACACCTACTACACAAGGCCACTCTACCAATTCCAGGAGACATAGCAGCTCTACCTGATACATAGAAACAAACACAGGGAAGCAGCCAAAATGCGGAGACAAAGAAACATGTCACAAATGAAAGAACAGGAGAAATCTCCAGAAAAAAGAACTAAATGAAAAGGAAGCAAACTACTAGATCAGCGGTTCTCAACCTGTGGGTCGCAACCCCTCTGGCGGTCGAACGACCCTTTCACAGGGGTCGCCTAAGACCATCCTGCATCTCAGATATTTACATTATGATTCATAACAGTAGCAACATTACAGTTATGAAGTAGCAACGAAAATAATTTTATGGTTGGGTCATAACATGAGGAACTGTATTTAAAGGGCCAGAAGGTTGAGAACCACTGTATTAGATACAGAGTTCAAAACAATGGTTATAAGGATGCTCAAGGAACTTAGTGAGAATTCCAAGGAAATTAGTGAGAACATCAATAACTAAAAAAGGACCAGTCAGAAATGAAGGATACACTAACTCAGTGGTTCTCAACCTATGGGTCGCGACCCCTTTGGGGGTCGAACAACCCTTTCATAGTGGTCGCCTAAGACCATCGGAAAACACATATATAATTACATATTGTTTTTGTGATTAATCATTATGCTTTAATTATGTTCAATTTGTAACAATGAAATTGGGGGTCACCACAACATGAGGAACTGTATTAAAGGGATGCGGCATTAGGAAGGTTGAGAACCACTGCACTAACTGAAATGAAGATTTACAGGGAATTAACAGTACAGTAGAGGATGCCAAGAATCAAATCAGCAACTTGAAATATAAGGAAGCAAAAAACATCCAATCAGAAAAGCAAAAGGAGAAAAGAACCCAAAATTATGAAGATAGTATAAAGAGCTTCTGGGACAATTTTAAGTGTACCATAATTTGCATCCTATGGGTGCCAGAAGGCGAAGAGAGAGTGCAAGAAATTAAAAACCTATTTGAAGCAATAATGACAGAAAACTTCCCCTACCTGGTAAAAGAAATAGACTTACTAGTCCAGGAAGCACAGAAAGTCCCAAACAAGAGGCCCACACCAAGATACATCATAATTAAAATAACAAAAGTTAAACAGAGAATCTCAAGAATAGCAAGAGAAAAGCAGTTAGTTACATATAAGGGAGCTCCCATAAGACTGTTTGCAGATTTCTCAACAAAAACTTTGCAGGCCAGAAGGGAGTGGCAAAAAATATTCAGTGATGAAAAGCAAGGACCTAAAACCAAGATTACCCAGCAAAGCTATCATTTAGAATTGAAGGTCAGATAAAGAGCTTCACAGAGAAGAAAAAGCTAGAGTTCATCACCACCAAACCAGTATTACATGAAATGTTGAAGGGTCTTTTTTAAGAAGAAAAAATAATAATAATAATATGAACAGTAAAATGGCAATAAATACATACCTATCAACAATAGAATCTAAAAATCAAAATAAATAAACAAGGACTCTAATGCACAACAACAAAACTGATGAAAATAGAACCAGAGGCATGGAAACATGGAACAGACTGATGAATCTTGGATGGACTAGTGAGGGAGGGGGGAGGGGAGGAAAGAGGAGGAAGAGCTTAAGCAAAGAACTTTTATTTATTTATTTATTTATTTATTTATTTATTTTTAAATATATTTTATTGATTTTTTACAGAGAGGAAGGGAGAGAGATAGAGAGTCAGAAACATCGATGAGAGAGAAACATCGATCAGCTGCCTCCTGCACATCCCCCACTGGGGAAGTGCCCGCAACCCAGTTACATGCCCTTGACCGGAATCGAACCTGGGACCCCTCAGTCCGCAGGCCGACGCTCTATCCACTGAGTCAAACCGGTCTCGGCAGAACTTATATTTATATATGCATTACCCATTGACACAGACAATAGGGTGGGGCAGGATCCAGTGCAGGAGGGCAATGAAGGGAAAAAGGGGGGAAAAAACATCTGTAATGCTCTTAGCAATAAAGACTTAAAATAATAACAATAAAAGAATTAAAAATATCACCTGGCGCCTGGCTGGTGTGGCTCAGTGGTTTAGTAGGGACCTATGCACCAGTAAGTCATTGGTTTAATTCCTGGTCAGAACACATCCCCGAGTTGCAGGCTCAATCCCCAGTGGGGGGCATGTAGGAGACAGCCGATCAATGGTGATGTTTATCTCTCATCAATGTTTTTAACTCTCCCTCCCTTTCCCTTCCACTCTAAAATCAATAAAAACACATTTAAATGAGGAAAAAAAAACAAAAAACATGACAAGAGTGAAATGGGATGGAGTGGACTGATCTTTCAGGTTTCTTCAGCTCTAAAATTCTGGGATGCAGAAAGGCCGAGCTGCATCATGGGTATCCTACCAAAACCCAAGGGATTTGTACTTTCTTTTTCAGATGACAAACAATACTATATGATTACCCAAGATAATAAGTTAATTACCCCCACGTATGGGACTGGAATTCAGATTTTTTTCCTAGCTTATGACTCTTTCCAGGAGGTATTAATACCAAATACTTAATTCTTGCTTTGAAAACATTTAATCATGCTATCTGGCTGAATTAACTCATATCTCAACTCTTCTATCAGACAAACCTTATAATACTGGTTTGTTTTTTCTTCCTCTAGTTACAAATGTTGAAACTGGCTGATCACAATGCCTAGAACAGCCGTGGGCAAACTATGGCCCGCGGGCCGTATCCGGCCCGTTTGAAATGAATAAAACAAAAAAAAAAAAAAAAAAAGACCGTACCCTTTTATGTAATGATGTTTATTTTGAATTTATATTAGTTCACACAAACACTCCATCCATGCTTTTCTTCTGGCCCTCCGGTCCAGTTTAAGAACCCATTGTGGCCCTAGAGTCAAAAAGTTTGCCCACCCCTGGCCTAGAATATCATTCTGGATTTTTCACTCATACCAAATTTCTTCAATCATAAGGAGCAAGACTTTATCAAGTGTTTCACAAACTCAAAGCTGGTGTCAGAAAGTACTTATACAATGAGAAGGATACAATAATTTCATCACACATGCATGTACACAGAACACCAGCCAAACTGGGCTTCCGAGTTTGTGTGAGCAAGCCGTACCTCTACTTGCTTGTTTCTACATCAATATTCTTTATACTTGGTTGGCACTTTTTTGCCTACATGAGATATAAATTCCTTGAGGGCAACAAATAGGTTTCTAAACTCTTTAGAAGCTCTTAAGAAACCCTACTTTAATATGATGCGTATTTCTTGGAGCGGCAATGCCGAAGAAACAAAACAGGAATGAGAGTTACTCCGTTTCTGAAATCTCAGGCCCTTACAAAGAAGATCATATATTTTTTTAGGGAAAAAGATGTCTGGGGGTTAAAAGCGCTGCCTCATATTTATGAAGAAGTAATGTTATTTTGGCCAAAAAAAAAAAAAAATGCAATACTTTGGATTTGTTACAAAAAGTTTTTTAAACCACTGGTTAAAAAACACACAAGTATTACATCTGTAAAATGAAAGGAAAAAATACTGTATGCAACGTCTACAATCACCCTTGATGTTTAACAGCTCTTTTCACTTCCTGGGCACATACCTTTTCCCATTCTGAGTTGGTGTTTTCCATAAGTAGGGAGAGTAGATCTTGAAGTGCTTTCTGAATGCAGGCCTTTAGTTTTTCAAAATATCGCACAGACGCCCACTTTGAAGAACACGTCGACATGAGTTCTGAGAGTTGCCTGTTCTCTGAACCAGGGGCTTGCTCCTTCGGGGTACCCTTTAGGAGAAGTTCAAGGACAGTCAGAATGTCCTCCTCGTACTGAGAGATTTCCAGTTGGACCCGCCTGGCTTCCTGCACAGTCCACTCCCTGCGACTCTGGTCTAGACAGGTTTGCAATTCTGTCTCCTTCTGGAGGAGCAGTTCAGCTTTCTGTTTCAGAAAGTCTTCTTTAGCTGCTGCAAGCACCTCATTAATTTTATTTCGATGATCATCTAAAAACTGTCTGTAATCTTGCTCATTTTGTTCTTGAATTCTGTGGATTTCTTCTTGCTTTTCTTTGTTCCATTCACTCCGGGCCTTTGCCAACTCGGCCCTGATAACCACAGGGACTTCCTCGTCCTTCAGTTCCAGCTCTCTCTGAAGAGAATGAATCTTCTCCTCCAATTTTTCCAGGTGTTGCATTTTTCCAGGCGTTGCATTTTTCTTCGTATTTTCAAGCTCGCTTTTCCATTTCTCTTTAGCTTCAGAAACAGCAAACGATATCTAAAGGACATAATGAAGATTTTAAAATCTTTAAGATTCTCTCATTAATAAAAAAAAATTAAAGTAATTATTTGGGTTAACCTCTGAACTTAGTAAGAGATTTAGAATCAGAATTAGGGGGAAACAGTGAATTTAGATATTATTCCTAAAATATTCTTACACTATACTTAAGGATCTTTTCCTTCATTTTAAGTCACCTAACATTTTATCTTACGTTATTTAAAAAACAAAATATCTGCCCTGGCTAGCATGGCTCAGAGGTTAGATCGTTGGCCTGCACACCACAGGGTGAGGGGTTTGATTCCTGGTCTAGAGCATGAAACTGGGTTTCAGGTTCGGTTTCTGGCCCTGGTCTGGGTGCTTGCAGGAGGCAGCCAATTGATTTGTCTCTCTTATATCATGTTTCTCTCTCTCTCTCTCCCTCTCCTCCCTTACCTATCATGCTCTCTAAATAATCAATGGAGATCTCCTCCCCCTCTTCTCCCCCCTCCTAAAAAAAAAAGAGAGAGAGAAAATAAATAAATAAATAAATAAATAAATAAATAAATAATCAATGGAGCCCAGTGGTTGAGTTCACTATGAACCAGGAGGTCATGGTTCAATTCCCAGTCAGGGCACAAGCCCAGAATTACAGGCTCAACCCCAGTGTGGGGCATGCAGGAGGAGGCCAATCAATGATTCTCTCTCATCATTGATGTTTCTATCTCTCCCTCTCCCTTCTTTTCTGAAATCAATGTTTTATATACATATAAAATAATCAATGGAAAAAGTGTCCTCCAGTGAGGATTAACAAAAAACAAAACAAAACTCGTTTTCTTGATGAAGAATTAGAACTTTAAACTGACCAAAAATATGTATTTGTGATTATTTACTCAAAACTAATTTTAGGAAAAATTCCAAATCACTTGTTTTATACATTTGCAGTCTCAAATTTTATCTAAACCCCCAAAACAAATTAAGCATCATTTACATTAAAGCAAAAGCAGCCTCATTAGGAAATCTTATTGTTACTTAGGAATATAACACATACCTGCATAATTACTTGCTGACCAACATAATTGTATTTTAATGCAATTTTAGTGGTAATGCAGTTCATGACATGACAATAGCAAACAGAAAAGGTTATTGTTTTCCCCTTTGGTTAATTTTCTTTTATAACAGAACAGAAATAGTAGATCATAGAAAATAAGAGTATGTAACCAAAAGGTGACAGGGAATCACAACACCTGGGCTCTAGCTCTAATCCTGCCTAGTACAGTACAGTGCTTATCAGAGGGGGCTCTGGAGACCAACTGCTGCAGGATCTCAGGAATTAGCTTCGGAACCTCAGGCCCATTCCTCAACTTCTTGGAGCCTCAGTTTCCTCAGCAATAAAATCGGGATAGCCTTGGCCGGGTTGCTCAGTTGGTTGGAGTGTCGCCCCATACACCAAACGGTTGTGGCTTCGATTCCCGGGCAGGGCATATACAGGAGGCAACCAGTCGATGTTACTTGAGTGAGGATTACAAAGTAAATAAATACACAGACAAACAAATAAAATGGGGATAATTACCAGGCCTACATGAAAGTTATTTTAGGATTAAATGACAGAGATAATCCATTTGAAGCACTTAACCCAGAGTGTGGCAAATAATAAGGACTCGATAATGTTATGTAGTTACTGTTGCTTTTGGCTTCTTGAACTTGGAAAAGTCAAGCTCTTTAGCATTTGGTGTCTTCGTCTATATAATGAGCAAACTGGATAATGACCTTGAATCCCTTTTACTTCTAATATCCCCTCAGTGACTCCAAAACATCATTAGAATACAAAGTGTTAAAAGAACTGGGCATCTCCAAAGGCTTGGCCTAGATTAATTAATACTACGTTTTTGCTCTGAATGCTGAGATAGGCTATCTGCTTACTAAATTTTCTATTATGTAATTATAGCAAACATCTTCACCTATACAGATTTATACACACGTGCCCTATACCTTTATTCACTTGTATGTGCTCTTAAATAGTTGCATATAATAATTTAAAAATTGGAAGTAATTGCATTTGAATTACTTTACTAAAGGAACCCACTAAGAATTCACAGTAAAATTCTCGTGCTCCCAGCAGAATGGTTCGGTTGTGCATGAAACATGTTTAAAGAATGCTTCAGAGAAAACAGGTCATGTCACAATGGATGCCTGGAAATCACTGCCAGAAGGCAGGCGGAGGTAGTGGATCCTACGGAATGTGGATAGCCGGCCCAAGCTCACTGAAAGCACACATCCTCTCACAGGAAGGTTTACAAGGAGCATCAGACAGCATTTGTTGACTCAGTGGTTCCCAACTTTGCTGCATATTTGAACCACCTGAGCACCTTCTAAAAATCCCGATGCCCAAGCCACACCCCATACCAAGTAGAACATAAAGTGTGGGAGTGGGAGCCAGGCACCAATATTTTTTTTTTTTTTAAATCCTCAAGGGTTTCCACTGTGCAGCAAAGTGTGGGGACCGCCAAACCAACCTGACTACTTCTCAACTCCGGGAAATGGATTTAAGTTTCCACACACTTGATGAGCACTCTAATCCTGCAAGAACTTGCCTCTCTAGCCAGTGCTAGGAAACTGGACCTTGCCCACCTCCTGTGGTTTGAGGATGGATGCCCAACATGTTAACATTGTTCTGTGGCTGAATAATGATCTCAATTGTGCCAACTCCCACCCACGTGTGGTCCAGAGACCAGCAGTGTCATGTCAGCGGGAAGCCTGTCTGAAAGGCAAATTCTCAGGACTCACTCGAGACCCTCCAAATCAGATTTCCAGAAGAGCCCAGAAATCTGCTTTAACAAACCCTCCTGGTGACTCGTGTGCCTGCTCAAGTTTGAGAAGCAACACACTGTCCTCTCGTCTCTATATTTCTGCATTCACATATGTGCAGGGCTCTCTGTTCTTTTTTATTTTTTTAATTAAATCTTTATTGTTCAGATTATTACAGTTGTTCCTTTTCCCCCATAGCTCCCCTCCACCCGGTTCCCACCCCACCCTCTGCCCTTACCCCCCTCCCCCACTGTCCTCATCCATAGGTGTACGATTTTTGTTCAGTCTCTTCCCGCATCCCCCACACCCCTTACCCCCTCAGAATAGTCAGTCCACTCCCTCTCTATGCCCCTGATTCTATTATATTCACCAGTTTATTCTGTTCATCAGAGTATTTGTTCACTTGATTTTTAGATTCACTTGTTGATGTGTATTTGTTGTTCATAATTTGTATCTTTACCTTTTGCTTCTTCTTCCTCTTCTTAAAGAATACCTTTCAGCATTTCATATAATACTGGTTTGGTGGTGATGAAGTCCTTTAGCTTTTTCTTATCTGTGAAGCTCTTTATCTGACCTTCAATTCTGAATGATAGCTTTGCTGGGTAGAGTAATCTTGGTTTTAGGTTCTTGCTATTCATCACTTTCAATATTTCTTGCCACTCCCTTCTGGCCTGCATAGTTTCTGTTGAGAAATCAGCTGACAGTCGTATGGGTACACCCTTGTAGGTAACTGACTGTCTTTCTCTTGCTGCTTTTAAGATTCTCTCTTTGTCTTTTGCCCTTGGCATTTTAATTTGATGTGTCTTGGTGTGGTCCTCTTTGGATTCCTCGTTTGGGGTTCTCTGTGCTTCCTGGACTTGTAAGTCTATTTCTTTCACCAGGTAGGGGAAGTTTTCTGTCATTATTTCTTCAAATAGGTTTTCAGAATCTTGCTTTTTCTCTTCTTCTGGCACCCCCATAATTCGGATGTTGGTACACTTGAAGTTGTCCCAGAGGCTCCTTACACTATCTTCGTATTTTTGGATTCTTTTTTCTTTTTGCTTTTCCGGTTGGGTGTTTTTATGCTTCTTCGTATTTCAAATCTTTGACTTGATTCTTGCGATCCTCTAGTCTGCTGTTGGAACTTTGTATAATATTCTTTACTTTAGTCAGTGTATGCTTAATTTCTAGTTGGTCCTTTTTCATAACCTCGAGGGTCTCACTAGATTTCTTGAGGGTCTCACTAAATTTATCGGTGGTTTCACTAGACTTATTGAGGGTCTTACTAAATTTATCGGCGGTTTCTAGAAAATTCTTGAAAAACCTTATAAGTGTGGTTTTGAACTCTATATCCAGTAGTTTGTTTTCCTCCATTTCTGTCATTTGTGACTTGTTTCTTTGTCTCTGCATTTTTTATGCTTCCCTGTGTTGATAGAGTGGCTTTCTGTGCTAGGTGTCCTATAGGGCCCAGTGGCTCAGCCTCCCCAGTTACCTGAGGTGGACACTCTTGGTGCACCCCTTTGTGGGCTGTGTTGTAGTTAAGCCTTGATTTTTGTAGGTATCACTGGGAGGAGTTGACCTCTAGGCCAGTTGGCTGTGAGAATCAGCTGTGTCTGCAGTGGAAGAACTTCTGTGCTGAAGGCACCCTTCTGGGGCAAGACTTGCTTCAGTGGGGCTTTGGTGCTCACTGAGTCTGCCCCCTGAGTGTGTCCCTTATGGATCTGAGGAGTTGTAATCTGGATGGTCCCACTCTGACCACTGGGTACACTGGCTCTTGGATCTCTAAGGAGATGCTAATTTAGCCTCTGCCTGATGCTACCCAGCAGGAGCTATGGAGAGATCTGCAGATTCCTCTTCTTTGTTTGGGGTTTGGAGGTGCCCAGATGAGGCCCAGCTGTGAAGCAATGCAAGCTGCTATGGGGCCTTGGGCCTTCTTTTGGAAGTTCTGGGTCTCTCTGAACCAGCTGCATTTTGTTAGGTAATTTTCAGATTGCAAAGGGCCAGGCCTTTCATATGCAAAAGCCTCTGCGCACACCTTGGGTGGGGCGGGGTCTCAGGGAATCAACAGGGCGGAGCAAGCAGCTATGGCTGCTCCTCAGTCCTGCCCTAAGAGGCCCCACGTCTCAGTGTCCCAGTAATCACTGTAAGCACCTCTGAGAGAAAGCCACCTCGAGTTCCGACCGATGCCAGGTAGTCCAGTTTCTCCCCGTATGAGTCTGGGTCCCCAGAGACTCGACCTGAACTGTAGTTCAGAGTTGTCAGGAGCTAGTGTCTCCCTCCCGATTGAAAAAGACAACTGTGTCCTCAGTTGCCAGCCCTTCCCATGTGCGCCTCCATACCTATGCACTTTACTTCCACACTGCACCTCCTCTGAGTCTCAGTGTGCTTTTCTCTTTCCTTCTAGTTGTAGAATTTCCACTCAGCCAGCCTTCCTGTGGTACAGGATGATGTTCGTTTTGTCTTTTAGTTGTATTTTTGAAGTGGTTGTGCGAGGCAGAAATTTCCGGTGTTTACCTATGCCGCCATCTTGGTTTCTCTCTCCAGGGCTCTGTGTTCTTAAGGAATGATCTCTTTTCTATTTTCTATATTCTACCCAATTTTATTACACTTCAGCTCTGAGACACATATGCATAACGCCTATTATTTCCTCTTTCTCTCTCCCTCCTAAATTTCCATTTGAACTATTTCAACAAACTAAAAAGTATAGAGAATAATAAACACCCAAGTACTGCCACATGACTTAAAACTAGATTAAAACACTTTTACTTATGTTGGATTATTTCCCTAAGTAATTTGTGGAATAAGATTATGAATACGATGTGTGAATCATTTATAATGTCTGTCATGCGCATTATTATCCAAAGTGGCTGTGACATTGGGACAGTAGCGCATGCTTGATATTATAATCCATGACATTTTGTGTATTACGGCTAAGAAGAGAGGATCTATACATTTGGCACAAAATGGCACCTGAAGTTTGGCTTAGTTTGCATGTCTCCAACCTGGTAGGTATGAACATTTTTCCATTGGTTTTTGCTGTTTGGAATTCTCATGAAGATTATTTGCTCATGTCTTTGGCATACTTATTCATGGATGCTTGTTTTGTTAACATATACTAGTAATAATGCTCTTCCTGTTTGATTCATTTATTTTCCTTATTTTTATCATCTTCTTTTGTTATTTTTTATTACAAGTAAAAATGTTTTAAACATTTGTACACATTTTATCCTATTTGTCTTTGCTACTGAGTCTGTTGCCTCAAATTTTATTATGATACATATCTGAAATATCTGATTTAATGTAAAAAAATAACTCCTTACCCCTGGCTGATGTTCAGTGGTTAGAGTGTTGGCCCGAAAACCAAAGGGTCACAGGTTCCATTCCCAGTAAAGGGAACATACCTGGGTTGTAGGTTTCATACTTGCTCCCAGTTGGGGTGTGTGCAGGAAGCAACCAATCTATGTGTCTCTCTCACATCGATGTTCCTCTCTCCTTTTCTCTCTCTCCTCTCTCTCTCTCTCTCTCTCCCCCTCCCTCTCGTCTACTCTCTCTAAAAATCCATGGAAGGCCTGGGGGGGTAACAGGTGCAGAGTGGAGGGGTCAGTGGGGAAAATAGGAGACATCTATAATACTTGCAACAATAAATATAGAATTTTAAAAATCAATGGAAAATAAAAAAACAAAACTCTTTAATCAACCTAGATTTTATGACAATGCTGGGTGTGGGTAAACTTAATATTTCCCAAGTGTTATCTGGCTGTCAGAAGACTGTTTATTATAATATTATTTATTATTCTGTTGTTTTGAAATAATTTACTGATGTTTTATTCACAGTTGGGCCTAACTCTGAAGTCTGTATTTTACTGAATAAAAAAGAATGTTATATTCGTGACTCTATACTATCAGACTTATTGCTTTTCCAATAATTCTGTGTTGGAGTTGGACTACTACTTCTTTTCTAGAACATTAAAAAAAAAATCTCTAGTCCTTTTAGTTTTCCAATAAATTTTAAAATCATAGGGTCAAATTTTAAGACTATGTTCAGTTTGATGGCATTTTGATTAGAATTGATTTACACTAGCAAACTAAGCCGGGAGAATACAAATGATTACAGTGAAGGAACATAAGATCTCTGGAAAGGAGAGTTGGATTGATTATTTACCAAGGAGAATCCTATATAATAAAAGGGTAATATAAAAATCGACCGAATGGCAGAATGACCGTTCGCTATGATGTGCACTGACCACCAGGAGGTAGATGCTCAACGCAGGAGCTGCCCTCTGGTGGTCAGTGGCTCCCACCCACAAGCCGGACTGATGGCTGGGAAGCGCAGCAGCAGTGCTAAGGATGTCTGACTGCAGCTTAGGCCTTCTCCCTGCAGCATTAGGGTATTAAGCCTTCAGTCGGACATCCCCCGAGGGCTCTCAGACCGCAAGAGGGTGCAGGCCAGGCTGAGGGACCCCCACCTCCCCCAGTGCATGAATCTCGTGTAATAAGCCTCTAGTATGTTATAAGCTGACACAGAACAAAAAACAATCTTTAAGCAGGTGAAAGGACACTGAATAGCTAGTAAATCGATAAACACCTGTCCTCAAATTTCTCCTAAAGATCTGGCAAGACAGAGTGCAACTGAGTTTCACAGGTAAGGTTATCTTCCTGATTCTGTGAGTTTCAAGATTTCCTAAATATATTCTCTCTCCCTGAGCAACTTGATGACAATGAGAACAGGGACCACCGGCCAGGCGCTGAGCTAATACTTAACATGCATCATCACATTTAACCCTCCAACAACCCTGTGAGTCGGCACCAATTCCCAGGACTGAGATGAGAGAAGAGGGCAGGAGGGGCCCTTCCCGGGAGAGTTCTTACCCGTTTGGCCACAGAGACCTCTTGCTGTTCTTCCCATCTCTTCTGTTCCGCTCTGACACGTGCTTTATACTCTGCAAGCTCAGGCAGTTCTTCCAGCCATCGATGGCGAGCATTTTGCACAGCTGTTTCTACCTGCAGGATATTTCGAGAGAAAGAGGTAAAAGGAGGTATAAAATTTCAAAAGGATCCCATTTGCAAATGGCAACTATGATGGCATGTGTATGTTACACTGCACTGTACTACATCACAGTTATAACTGACTTCAAGTACCTCCCCTTACCCCAAACAGTGGAGTCTAATCCATCTGTTCCCATACCGACCCATGCAAATGCCACAATAGGAAGTGAGGGCCTAGAAATGTTTGATGGCCAGTACTACTTTAGAAAGCTCTATACAAAGTACCAATTGCCATTTCCCTATGTATCTTGGGAAAAGGAGAAGGCAGGCAGGAGGGCTGCTTGGTGCCAGCTGCCGTCCAATCAGTACACCTACCCCCTCTCAGTCCTCACGCCCTACACACACACACACACACACACACACACACATGCATTCACACACATGTATGCAAGCACCAATGCAGTCAAGAGTGAGTTTGTGACTAAAGAGTAAGGGTAATACATCAATTCAGGCAAAAATCTAAGACTTGATGAATTATAAGGCTAATCTGCTTATAAATCTATTACAAGATCATTTACTAAATAATCATTCCTTATTCTCTTGTTTTGAAATACATAGATACACACATACATACTATATCCACACATACACACCAAAGTGCAGCTGATATAAGAGGCTATATTCCTCACTAAAATGTCAAATACAGTTACAGGTAAATTCCAAAGAGTTAAAAATATGGGGAAAAGATAAAGTACCTGTAGAAATTTATATTCCTTACAAAGTTAGTATGAACAATTCCCTTGCTACTATACTATGCTATTTGCTTTTCCTCACAAGAGCTATACTTGAGCTTGATCTATCACTGAACCCTTAAACATGTCTCTTTGTTGACAGAATATTTTCTTGCTTTGTTCAAGTCTTACGGCAAACATTTCAGAAAATTATAACTGATGGAAGATATACTTGATACCATTACGTACATTTTCCTATGTTTCCAGACTTTAAGGATGCCCTGCAACATCATGTAGAACAATTTAACAAGTAGGCAGAATTTTCAAGTGTTTAGCAAAAGCTGAGTATATTTTTCAAAATGTTACTTCAGGTTATTATCTTAAGACATTTAATAATAGTTTTAAATAATAAATACACAATAAATAATCCTATCTAATAAAAGAGAAACATGGTAATTGGCGTACGACCGCTACCCTTCCCATTGGCTAATCAGCGAGATATGCAAATTAACTGCCAGCCAAGATGGCGGCCGGCAGCCAGGCAGCTTGAAACTAACATGAGGCTTGCTTGCTTCAGTGACGGAGGACTACAATGTTCCCCGCCTGCCTAGCTGGCCTCTGAGCCTGCAGTCTGAAACATTGTAACAAATATAGAAGCTAAACAAAACCCCAGAAACCAGCTTTCAGTGAGCCAGGATCTCAGAGGTGGAGTTGATACAGTGTCTCGACTATAGAACCCAGCAGAGGCCTCAGAGCTGGAGCCAGAGCTAAAGCTGGCCCAGAATAAAAAAAATACAAAAAATAAAGAGCAGTTGGGAGCTTCAGTCACCCGCGAGCCTGAAAACAGCCCTCAGCCCCTCACCCAGACTGGCCAGGCACCCCAGTGGGGACCCCCACCCTGAAGGGTCTGTGACCAGCTGCAAACAGCCATCATCCCCTCACCCAGCCTGGCCAGGCACCCCAGTGGGGACCCCCACCCTGATCCAGGACACCCTTCAGGGCAAACCAGCCAGCCCCACCCATGCACCAGGCCTCTATCCTATATAGTAAAAGGGTAATATGCCTCCGAGCACCGGGATCAGCGTGACAGGGGGCAGCGCCCAAACCCCCTGATCGCTCTGCGGCTCTGTGTGTGACAGGGTGTGGCGCCCCAACCCCCCCCCCCCCACGGGCCCTGCTCTGTGTGTGACGGGGTAGAGCCATAACCTCCCCATCGGCCCTGCCCTGAGTGTGAGAGTGGCGGCGCCCCAACCCCCTGATCGGCCCTGCTCTGTGGGTGATAGAAGGCGGCACCCCAACCCCCGCTCCCCCCACGGGCCCTGCTCTGCGTGTGATGGGATAGAACCATAACCTCCCCATCAACCCTGCCCTGAGTGTGACAGTGGCGGCGCCCCAACCCCCTGATCGGCCCTGCTCTGTGGGTGATAGAGGGCGGTGCCTCAACCCCCTGATCCACCCTGCTCTGTGACAGGGGGTGGGGCCCCAACTCCCCTATCGGCCCTACTCTGTGAGTGACAGGGGGGAGCTCCTCAACCCCCTGATGGGCCCTGCTCTGTGCGTAACAGGGGGGAGCTCCCCAACCCCCGATCAACCCTGCTCTGTGCGTGACAGGGGGGAGCTCCCCAACCCCCTAATGGGCCCTGCTCTGTGCATGACAGGGGGGAGCTCCCCAACCCCCCTGATGGGCCCTGCTCTGTGCGTGACAGGGGGCAGCGCCCCAACCCCCTGATCGGCCCTGCTCTGTGCGTGACAGGCGGTGGCACCGCAACCTCCCCATCAACCCTGCCTTGAGTGTGACAGGGGGCGGTGCCCCAACCCCCCAATTGGCCCTACCCTGAGCGTGACTGAGGGTGGCATTGCAACCTCCCAATCCACCCTGCTCTGTGCATGACAGGGGGCGGCGCCCCAACTCCCCAATCGGCCCTGCTCTGAGCCCGACCAGGGGCTGCCCCTAGGGATTGGGCCTGCCCTCTGCCACCCAGGAGAAGGCCTAAGCCAGCAGGTCGTTATCTCCCGAGGGGTCCCAGACTGCGAGAGGGCACAGGCCAGGCTGAGCGACCCCCCTCCCCGCCCCCAGTGCACAAATTTTTGTGCACCGGGCCTCTAGTATTATATAAAGGTTCCAGGAACTTCTAAGGTCTAGAAACCCTATCATATGGTACGTGAGGTCAAAACCTCTCTGAAAACAATTGAATTCAGACATTCTCCATCTTTTTTACTCTTGTTCTCTTGCGTTGAAACAGTATCGTTCTCTGGGCAACACGCTATGTGGTGGTGTCGCTGCTCTCACGGCCGATGGAATATGTGCTAGAGTAGATGTTTTTGAAAAATTTCTTATGTAAAGGTAGCCCGAGACCAAAACATTCAAGAAGTGCTGTTATTGATAAAACACACAGCTCATCTTTATTCTGTGCACACAGAGCTGTACTTTTCTCGGTGGGACAGTTCTTGGAAATGAAGTGACAAGCCCATTAAAAGTGAAACAGCTTTCTGGGTGTGTCCCAGGGGAGGTAAGGGCACCACCTTGGGGCAGAGGATGGGATTTACAGACCACGTCCCTGCTCAACTCCACAAGTCTCAACACAAACACTGTCGCTTTAAGTTTGCTTATCTACAGCTACGTTGGTGGAATGTTTTCTATACAGGTAGACAGGAAAGGTTCGTAATTAAATTGTGTTTAATTCAGCTGTAAAACCACCGTCTTTAAACTCAACTACCTGAATGCTCAGAGTAATCTCAGAGGAGCAAACATTTTGTCAACGGAAAGAACATACAGAAACGTTGAGGGGCAACAGTTTTTATAACAGAAACATAATGAAGTTAATTTTAGGAACCGCATAGGAGTCCTCTACCCTAGAATGCACAAACATTTTAAAGTATAAAGTTCTGAACCAGTGCAATGATAGCATTTTATAGGTTTTTGCTAAAAGACAAGCAGTTCCAATCATTTACCTGTTTGGCAATGTTTTCACAATATTTGAGTTCCAATTCAACCTCGAGTTTCTTCAAGGCTGCCTTGATAGCTCTTTCCTTTTCCTGCTCTAGATCCTGCTGGGCCCCCTGCTCCTGTCCTTCTGCCACCATTGCCATCTCTTTCTGGGAAACAGCATCTTTGGCGGCTACCTGGTCCGTCTGGCTGTAACAGTCAGAGGTTGTCTTTTTCATTGCCTTTGCAGTTTGAGCCAGCTTAGCCTGCCACTCCTTTTCAATCTGTTGAAAAAGTTCTTCTTTCATCTGTTTTCAAAAGAAAAATCGTATGAGAAGGAAAATATTCAAATCATTATTAGTGAAAACTAGGATAGCCAAAAAGACAGCCACAGCTGTGTTTGAAAACCATCTAGACATTGTTGTGATAATTACATGAGGTTTGGAAATAAAGTCTGTGGAAATATGTTCTCAAGTAATTCCTGAAAATTACTCTTTGACCTTATCTACGTGACATAAATCACATGGAAAATTTAAGTATGTCGTGTAAGGTCAGGCTTTCTTGCTCTCAAGATGCAACCTGCTGGAGGCTTCGGCATTGCCGATACCAAGATGACATGACAGGAAGAAAGGAACGGGGAGAAATGGAGAGAGGAAGAGGGAGAGAAGGAGAGAGGAAGAGATGGAGAGAGGGAGGGAGAAGGGGAGGAGATGCGAGGGGGGAGAAGGGAGGGAAGGAGAAAGGAAGGGAAAAACTTTTGCTATTAATATGTGTTTCCCATAAACATAAGGCTTTCCACAAAGCAGACACTCTGCACGTCTAATTAATGAACCTAATTTCAGTCAGTTGAACGGTGTCCACCTGGCCAGCAGCCACAAGGACCAGAGTAGCACAGACTCAGGTGCCTTGTCCTTGACAGCCTACAAGTCTCACCAGACTGTCAGCTTGCACGCAAGCTGTTCCAAGCATGGCACCTGCCCCCTCTCCTCTCCTAGGTAAGTCCCGGCCTAACCCTGGCCGAGGGCGGAAACATTCCTGCCGTGGGGTATTCTCCACGTGTAAGTAATAAAGGCTACATCCTTCCTCTCTGGTCCCCCGTGTGGTTTTTTTGACTATCAAAGGACGGTGTGGCACTCCTGGGATTGGAGCTCTTCTGTCACACTGGTTGTCTGGGTCTTTTCTGGTTCACAGCTGACCTAGCCTAGTTCTGTCTTAAATGCCATCTGATTCCTCCCCACCACTGGCACATGCCGACTAGATGATCTCTATGTCTGTTCAGTGCTCTGTGATTTTGGAAAATCTCCAGTGACCAAGGGACCCATTTCTTCACAATCAGGTCATGGGGACTTGCAGCTGCACCACATAGGTGAGTAAGTTGTCTGGTGCTGCATCACAAAACACTGGTATTATTGTTTTGTCTGATTGTTTGACTATAGAAGAAATCCTCAAATTTTCCTCTCTGTGTATGGCTATCCCTCAGGAGATTTTCCCATTTGTACCTGCATTTCCTTTTGAACCACAGCAGAAAATTGCTACCAATTTTCTCTGTTTGTGGGTATATAAGTTAACTTTGCTACCTCATAAACCAGCTAAAATTTAGTGATTTAAAACAACAAGCCTCTCTTATTTTTCATGATTCTGTGGGTCAGCCAGGGCTTGATTCTGATCTAAGCCAATACAGCTGGTCTCTGCAGGCGACTGGGGCTACATGGTCTAAGCTGGCCTCACTCACATGTCTGGTAGTTAGTGTGATGTCTGCAAGGGCAATGGTGATGACTTGATCACATGTGTCATCATCCAACAGATTATCCCAGATCATTCACATGGTGGTGGCCACAGGGTTCCTAAGAGCACCAAGCTTCCAAAAGCCTCAATGCATCAATGCTTCCCAATGGCCAGTCAGTCATTCCAGGTCAAATTCAAGGATGAGAAAGAGTCTCTGCCTCTGATTGAGAAGAGCCACAATATCACTCTGCAAGGGGGCATGCATTCAGGGGTAGGAAGAAGGTCTGGCCATTTCTGCAATTCACCACAGTGAAGAAGACCTTGTTCCCTCTCTTCATAGAGGAAAAATAGTAGATTTATTGGGTATAGGGATCCGCCATCTGAAGATATTATAGAAATATCTATTCCGAAAGTTGTACCACTAAAGGGAAAGAAATATTTGGATAGTTTTAAAGCACTTAAACTTGTTTTGCATGGCTCAAACTGCAAAAATCCCTCTAACTTGTAAGGACTGACTTAACATGTATTACAACTAAACTAGAGGCCCAGCGCGCGATTGATATTGCACAAAGAGGTGCCCCCCCTCCCGCCGTGCGAGGAGGCACCCCGCGGGTGGCCGGGACCCGTGCCTGACTTCTGCCCCAGGCCCCCCAGTCCCCCTGCCTGTGTCCGCTCAGGGCCACTGGAGCCACCACCCTGGCTCGGGCAGGCTCCCCTGTCTCTGTCTCCATCTCCGTCTCTGCTCCGGGCCTCACCTGCACACGCAACCTCCTCCTGTCCAGTGTGACCCGTTACGGCGTCCCGGCCTAATTTGCATATTACCTCTTTATAGATAGATATAGATATAGATATAGATATAGATATAGATATAGATATAGATATAGATTCAGATATATGAGCCTTAATGTGTACAGGTATGGCATTATGAATGGGACTATTGAACATCTCTGCCTTGTCTATGTGTCTGAAGGGTTCTGTGTGCATGACTTTTTTCCCCTTTCTCTGAACAAGCCAGGTTAACAGGAGGAAAGTTCTGTGTCAATAAAAGTTTTAGAACTTGGACTTCAGCTCCTACTTAACCCCCAGCTGGACTCAATAACTGTTTCAGAACACAGCACATATGAAACATATGAAACTTTGGAATACTGGTTTTGACTATCTTATAAATTCTGTATCCAGACTAAGTCCCTGACCTGAAGCTCAGCCATAGGAAATATGGCTTATGCCCAGCAGAGAAGGGCTACCCAAAAAGTTACTTACTTTTTTCCAGAGTCTAATATCATTCTTCCATTGTATGAGTGTGAAATATATCATAGGCCCTAGCTGGTTTGGCTCAGTGGATAGAGCGTCAGCCCGTGGACTGAAGGGTCCCAGGTTCAATTCCAGTCAAGGGCACATGCCCAAGTTGTGGGCTCGATCCCCAGTAGGGGGCGTGCAGGAGGCAGCCGATCAATGATTCTCTTTCATCACTGATGTTTCTATCTCTCTCTCTCTCCCTCTCCCTTCCTCTCTGAAATCAATAAAAATATATTAAAATATATGTATATACACACATATATATGAATATATATAATAGAAAAACAGTTTGGTATATCTTTACCTACCTCTAGAGGATACGAAATAATTAAAGTCTCTTAAATTTCAAGAAATGCTGTTCTGACTGGCTTAGAAAGACTCCTAAGCCATATAAAGGATATATAGAGAGAGAGGAAGGAATTAAACTTTTCATGCTCTAAGTACAGTGGCCCTTTAAGTGTGTGTGGGGTTGTAACTACAAAGGGCCAGATAGCACAAGGGACTTTTTTAGGATGATTAAACTGCTCTGTATCCTGATCAATCTACATGTGTTAAAATGTGTAGAACGGTATACCAAATTTAAAAATGAGTCAATTATACTGTAGGACAATTATTCAATTTTAAAGATAAAAAATTAACCTGTAAGTGTCTTCAGAAGGGCCAAATAACAGTTTTGACTTTTCTTCCTGCCCCAGTGCAAGCACTCAAGAGCCAAAGTACCAATCTGCAGCAGCTATAAATTGCAACTGGCCAATTATATGAGGTCCAATTTTACAGCCAAATTGATTCCTTTTTTTTAAATCCTCACCTGAGAGTATGTCTTCATTGATTTTAGAGAGGAAAGGAGAGAGAGAGAGAGAGAGAGAGAGAGAGAGAGAGAGATCAATTAGTTGCCTCCTGCACTCACCCTGACTGGGGTTCGAACCTGCAACCTAAACATGTGCCCTGACCAGGGATGGAACCCGCAACCTTTTGTTGTATGGAACAACACTCCAACCAACTGAGCCACCTGGCCAGGGCCAAATTGATTCTTTTTAAAGTACCAGAAAATATATTCCTGAAAAGAATTACTTCTTTGAGAGAATTGATCTTATGCTCTTGCCATTGATCATATATATGTATGTGTGTATGTATATATGTATGTATATATATATATATATATATATATATATATAGAAAGAATAAAAAAAGAATCACACTAGAGATCTATTTTAATTTTTATAACATTACTAAAAGCTAAGTTTTTAACTTCTAGGTAATTTAAGATCCCTTCTAACTTTTACACTTCCAGTACTAACTTACACAGCTCCCTCTAGAATTACACATGACACGTTTTTTATGTTTTTATTAATCTACTCAAAAGTAACCAAAATATTTGAGTTCCTCACCTGCTCTTTACTATTCTTTTTAAGTCTGTGGTAGCAAGGCCTTGCTTTAATGTGACTTATTCAAAAGCTTCTGTTTAGAACATTTACTCAGGCCTTTAAAAATATTTTCTAATCTAGATGCAGGTGGCTTTCAAACTGTGGTCTGTACCTGATCCAAAGTGGGAGTGAGAATTGTGTCTGGATGAGACTCTGAGGACAGGGAAGAAAAGAAGAGGTGCCCCTCTTTCCACGCGATCGGACTCTGGACACTCAGCAATGGCCGCTTGGAAGAGCCAGGGAGGAGCAGAGCACACGGTAGCCCCTCCCATTTCCCTGAGGCCACACTGGCACTGACCTTTCTCTCCACAGCCTCCATGCCACCCCCTTCCCTGTCATGAAAACCCAAATTCAAGTGACCACCGTGCCCCCTCCAGAAGGCAACAATGCTCGGACACTGGCGGAGAAATGGGCCGGAGCAAAATGCCCCTGAAGGAATACTCTGTACCGGGCTCAGAGGACTGGGTAGGGTCGCCTGAGCAGCCCACAAGCAAATGCAAAATGAGGATCCCGGGTTTCAGACTCAAAGTGACTCAGGTCCACTCCTATTTTCAGAACTCTTTTTGTCTCTTAGGAAAAGATCGATACAGAAGAATGACTTTCTCCTATATGTAGGCCAGTTTCTACTAAGGTCTTAAAAATCATCTCAACACTTAAAAGTATGATGTGACCTATATTAGTGTGAAATCGCCAAAAGAGACATCCACGTATGCCTTCTCCCCTGCACAGGAGAACAAGTGTACTGGTTTCAATGAAACAGTGAGGCCGGGGAAATCAACTGAAGGAAACATGGTATTAACTTGTGCTGTACCTTCTCCTGCATCTGCTGCTCCTTTTCGATGGTCTTCCTGAGAGTTGATTCTAGGTCATCCTTCTCTCTGCACACTTCCAGGTAACACTCCTGCACAGCGGCCATCTCCTTATTCATCTTATCCAGTTCAGACCTTGGATACACAAAACCAGCAGCTAAATGACCACAAAAAAAAATACAAGGGCTGCAGCACAATGTTCTCTAAAATAGGAAATAGCTGTTGTCTTCCAGCTTCGAAGGCAGCTAAACTGTTTTATTCTCACCTAAGTTGCAAGCGAGTCCCCTCATAGACCTCAAAGAGCTGCTGCTTCTCCACAGCATGCTTCGCTAACAGGCTCTCGCGAATCTGGGCTTTCACGGCTTCATGGTGCTGCTGGTAAGTCCTCTCACACCTGCGAACAAGGCGGCCAGCGGAACCTAAGGCAGTGCCCAGCTTCACAAGAAACCCCAAGTCCACTGGTTTCCCTTCCTCCCTTTCCCCGACTCTTCTCTAATGCACATGATAATTAAGGTCAGATTGGTTGTCCCCAACCAAAAATAGTAATGATTAATTTCACTGTATCACAAGAATCTTCAAATTTTCTTTCCTCAAATGTTTCTAGAAAAAGAATTAGTAACTTGGATTGCGGATGTCCTTCACACAGAGAGAACAGTCTGTGTTGAGGACTTGTTTATAAAAAATGAATTGAAATAACAGGGTATGTGTGGTTCCTAAATTGCAAGTCATCTACATTAAACACAAATACTTAGTAGAACCAAACTCACAAGTAAGTTATGTTCCAAAAGTCCGTTTCCAAGTTTATGATTTGGTATTTGGAAGACATACCCTTTCACAGATCTCTTCCTTATATAGAGTAGCCTTTAAAACATCATTACGCTATCCTATTTCAATGAACCACCATTTGACGGTGCTATAGAACCCAACACACCACCTAACATCACTTCTATGGAAAATGGGTTCCAAATTCTAATTTGAGAAACCAGGGACTCGTCTTCTCCAAGCTAAGGTCTCAATAGGGAGGGATCACTCCATCATTTCTCTCGAATCTTTTTTTTGGGGGGGTGGGGGTGGGGGGGTAGGAGGGGAGGAAGATGAGAGGAAAGCAAATGGGGAGGGTGTCCAGGAGGCAGGCATTATATATACTTTATAGACTTTACCTATCAATAGTTTCTTGTTTATCACGGTCAAAATCTTGTACCATTTGTCTCATTTGATTACATAACTCCTGATTTGTATTTCTCAGTTTTTCTTCCATTTCTTTTAGTGCCTACATATAAAAGAATAAAGTGTTTGTTGGAAATAAACATCATTTTCAATGATTAACCTCATTTTTAAACATCCTCTGTACTTTATCTCTACCCTGTAACATTATCTGACATAGCATTTTCATAATTCCACAAAAGTCTCTTCATGCTTTGATAAGAGTACAGAATCATTTCTTTGACAAGGAGCTTTCTCTAAGGAGTAAAAATTTAAATTTTGTATTTTATTTGAAATAGATGAAATGAAAACATTTAACCAGAGAAGTACTGGCTAATTGATGCCTAAAATAAGTCTTAAAATTAACAGTCTTCAGTAGCCTTTTAAATAAACAAAGTTTTACTTTGTGGTCAAGGGCTGGCTAAGGAGGAAAGAACACCTCTATTAGCCAAGCTACTGTACAGACAGAAAACTGGATTTACACTAACTTACTTTCTAATGAAACTACTGCCCTGTGACCAACACTAATGGGAAATAACTAGAATCCTCAATCACCTACTAATATCCTTGTCTACTAACCCACATTGCCTCCGTATTTTTGCATTTAATGAGGCCATGGAAATTCTCACAAAATATTTTTAAAATTTTTAATTACCTGATTTTGTTGTTGCAAAACTTGAATTTCATTTTCAAGTCGCAGAATATCATCTTTGACAATCAATTCAGAAGTAGAAGAGGGATCTGTTTTAGTCTAAATGTTTAAAAAAAAAGTCAAACGTTTTTCAGGTTTTTAAAAAAGTCTAAGTACTTATCTATCTATATAAAAAGCTAATATGCAAAGTGTCCCCTCAGGAGTTCGACCGGGAGACTGGGAGTTCAATCTCTCGCTACGATGTGCGCTGACCACCAGGGGGCGATGAGGAACATGGCAGGCAACCAGTGGCGGGGCGCTGAGGGAGCAAGGGAAGGAGGAGGTAGGTAGGTGAGGAGGTGGGGGGGGGGGGGCATGGAACCACGCAGGATGGCACTCGGGTGTCGAGGGAAGGAGGAGGCGGGTAGGTGGGGAGGCGGGGAACCTGATCAGCCCTGATCGCTGGCCAGGCCTAGGGACCCTACCCGTGCACGAATTTCGTGCACCGGGTCTCTAGTTTTGAAATAATGTCATACAAAGAAATTGCAGAAACTGTACAAATGATTTCCATATACCTTTTACCATGTCCCCAAATATAACCACAGTACAATGATCAAAACCAGGACATTGACTAGGGCACAATACTATTAACTAATCTACAAAATTTTCTGATTTTCCTCTAATGTCCTTTTCTGGCCCAGGATCCAATCTATGATCCCCACTGCACTTACGTAGTTGTCACATCTCATCGGTCTCCTCCAGTCTAGGACAGCTCCTCCGTCTCTGACCTTCAAACTCCTGATATTTTTGAGTACTAACCAATTATTTTGTAGCATGGCCCGCCATTTTTGTTTTTTTTCTGATGTTACTTCATTAGTAAATTCAGGTTATGCATTTTTGGCATGAATGCCACAGCAATGATGCGTATGCTTTTCAGGGGAGACACGATACCAATATGTCTCATCACTGGTGATGATCAATTGATCAAGGGAGTGTCTGCAAGTACCTTCACTGAAAAGTTACTATTTTTCCACTTAGAATTAATAATAAGTACTTTATAAGGAGATACTTCGAGACTATGCAAATATTTTATTTTTCATCATACTTTCATCCATTAAATTTAGCATTTATTTATATAACCAGTTTTAACTCACAGATACATATTTTACTCAATAGGTACAATTTTAAGGCTTATGATAGGCTTTAGCAAATTTTTTCCAGAAAGTTTGTACAAATGTATACTCTCATGACTTTGTCCAACTCTCTTTACCTCCAATGGCAGTGACTATCTTTAAATAATGGTTGTTTTGATGGGGGAAAGGTTATCTAACAATGGCTTCCATTGGCATTCTTTGTATTGCCATCAGAGTGGAACCTCTTACATCCCTTCATTGTTCATTTGTTTTACATCTTTCCAAGTTTGTCTCTTTACATGACTGCATGTTTTCTGCTCACCATCTAAATGTCTTCTGTATTTATTTTTGAGTTCTTTTTCTAATATTTTTTAAATGATTTCAGAAAAGAAGGGAGAGGGAGAGACAGAACCATCGATGAGAAAGAAACATTGATTGGCTGCTCCTGCACTGGCAATCAAGCCTGCAACCCAGGCGTGTGCCCTGACCGGGAATGGAACTGGCGACCTCCTGGTGTATGGAATGACGCTCAACCAACTGAGCCACACCAGCCAGGCTATTTATGACTTTTTTATTCACTGAGGGGTACAAGGTTGGGAAAAAAAATAAAACCTACATTATTAGGCTTGTTGGTTTATGTATTTACCTGAACTCTGAGCTCTCTTACACAATGCTTAAAAAATATCATGTACCCATCTACACGATGGAATACTATGCTGCTATAAAAAAAGAAGGAATTCTTACCATTTGCAACAGCATGGAAGGAACTGGAGAACATTATGCTAAGTGAAATAAGCCAGTCAATGAAAGAAAAATACCACATAATCTCACTCATTTATGGATAATAAAGACCATTATAAAGTGATGAACAAAAATAGATACAGAGGCAGAGCAACATCGAACAGACTGTCAAACTACATCAGGAAGGTCGGGGAGGGTTGGGGAAGGGGGCGTAAGAGATCAACCGAAGGAGTTGTATGCATGCATATAAGCATAACCAATGGACACAAGACACTGGGGGATAGGGGAGACCACGGGAAGGTCAGGGGAGAAAAAACAAAGGAGACATATATAATACTCTTTGTAATACTTTAAGCAATAAAACAAAATTTTTTTAAAAAATATCATGTACCAAGGTTCATTCTACTCATTGGGGAGGGGAAGGTATGTATATCTCATTCCTAGGTGGGGTGACAAAACACCAAGGCTTTGGTTCAGTCTTCCAATTCACAGAGCCTTCACTTTCAGAGGGAAGCTGCTCAGTTGCTGACTTTCCCCTTTTCACTTGCCATCATTTCCCAGAAGCCATTTCTCTACCCCAGTTGGCAGAGAAAGTAGCTAAGACTGCTTATTCTGTTAACTTCTCTCCAGATTTGGGGATACTAATGACACTTAAAAAGATCTCTGGCCGAAACCGGTTTGGCTCAGTGGATAGAGCGTCGGCCTGCGGACTGAAAGGTCCCGGGTTCGATTCCGGTCAAGGGCATGTACCTGGGTTGCGGGCACATCCCCAGTGGGAGATGTGCAGGGGGCAGCTGATCGATGTTTCTCTCTCATCGATGTTTCTAACTTTCTATCTCTTTCCCTTCCTCTCTGTGAAAAATCAATAAAATATATAAAAAAAAAAAAAAAAAAAAAAGATCTCTGACTCAGGAGAATGGCTTTCAATTTTTTAACCTGGCCTCCACTTTTTTTTTTTACCCTCACCCAAAATACGTTTATTTTTTTATTGATTTGAGAGAGAGAAACATCGACATGAGAAAGAAACATCAATCTGTTGCCTCCTGAATGTACCCAAACCAGGGAATGAACCCACAACCTGAGTTATGTGCCCTGACCAGGAATCGAACCCACATCCTTTTGTTGTATGGGGAGGATGCTCAACCAACCAAGCTACCCAGCCAAGGCTGGCGCCTACTTTTTAAAGTTTTGATATTCATTTGTGCTTCCTTCCCCACTGGTAAGTTTTTATTACTAGAAATAGAATAAGCAGATATACTAAAAAAAAAAATTCTTTCATAGCTATTACTCAGTTTTGACCTATTTTCACACTGCAGGCACACAGGGCCTAGATACCTGTACTTGTCAGCACAAAACCCTTACAAACATCTTGAAAAAGAGAAGGACCACATAAATGGCACAATAAAATCTCTTTCTAAGGGTGGAATTCTGAAGACATTATATTCAAGAAAACAAGAACTACAATATTACACCAACTCTCGTACTATCTTCCTAATTCCTAAAAGATTCTAACGAGGAACCTTCTAGGTTGGCTATCGAACACTGCCTATCAAATACCTTGGAATCAAAGTACGGCTTTCACCACAACATGCGGTGAGGTAACAGTCTCTATTGAGTGTCAGGCACAGAAAGGCCTCTATGTTTTACGTATTATGCTTACAGAATGTTAAGTGCAGGTGCAGACCCTGACTGTTAGTGAGGAGTCTGGTTTCCTAAGGCCTTGACCACATTCTACCTTAACAGCCCAGTTTTCAACTGGAATGATCAGCAAAGTATCGGATCCATTCCCAATCATTACACAGTGCTATGGATGGGCAGACTCCTAACGTTCATCACATATTATCCTAGGAATGCCAGAAAACAGCACCGCTTTTGCGGTAAAAAAAAAGGAACTCTTGCCTTTTGCAACAGCATGGATGGATCTGGAGAGCATTATGCTAAGTGAAATAAGCCAGTCAGAGAAAGATAAATACCACATGATCTCACTCATTTGTGGATTATAGAGAACAACATAGACTGATGAAAAGGGACAGACTCAAAGACTGAGAAACAGCAATCAGGCTATCAATCCCCAGAAGGAAAGTAGGGGAGGGCGGGGGTAAGGGGAAGAGATTAACCGAAGGACTTGTATACATGTATATAAGCCATACCAATGGACATGGACAACAGGGGGATGGGAGCATGAGTGTGTGTGGGGGGGAGGTTGGGGGTTAATGGGGGGGATGAGGACACATTTGTAATACCTTAACTAATAATAAAAAAAAAAAAAAAAAAAAAAGAAAACAGCACCGCTTTAGATAGTCATATGATTGGAAAGCAAAATACTGATTCTCTATCATAATATTAATTTGTTCTGCATGAGGGATATAAACTAACATAAAATGTACTACAAGGTATGTATAATGCAATAAATATATCAATACCTTTATAATGTTCATTTAAAAAATGCCAAATAAGACTGCATACGTAGCCCTGGCCAGGTAGGCTCAGTTGGTTAGAGCACTGTCCTGATACACCAAGGTTGTGAGTTCAATCCCCGCATGTGGGGTATTTTGTCACCCTGCACATACAAAAATCAACCAATAAATGCATAAGTAAGTGGAACAACAAATTAATCTCTCTCTCTCTCTCTCTCTCTCTCTCTTAAATCAAGAAATTTTTTAAAAAAATTTAAAGACTACATACATAAATATTTTTGCTGGCTTTCTTAATTCTTACAAAAGCTTTAAGGAGAGAATTTTGATGGCCTAATTATCTTTAAAAACACATCCACACAAGTTTAAATTGGTGTGTTATTTCTCGTAACATCCCTACAGCAAGCAAAGGAATCCAACATTATATCCCTTCTTTCTGGAAATCAATGAGACACCTAAATGGTTTTGGCCTCATTAAAGATTTCAGAAAGACTGAGCTTACACAATATGGATTCTATTCCCATGCCCTCCTCGCTCCAGTTACACCAGCTTATTTGCTACATTCTTTTATTTACTTCTGTTCCAGGCTGAAATGTCCCTTCCCACCTGGCTCTCCTCGATTTATCCTTCAGGACAGAGACCCAGCATGGCCTCCTCAAAGACTTGGCTAGGCTGCCTCACCACCCTCCACCCCTCCAAGCCCCCACCAAGCCCAGGAAGTCATTCCTTCTCCTGGCACTTTGTGACCAGTACCACCCTTATTACACAGAGTTATAGGTGCCCATCCACTGCAGAGCTGCATTGCTGAATGTGCAGCCACTAACCCATGTGTGCTTATGGGCACTGGTGCTTATGGACCCTGGCCAGGTGGCTGGTCCACACTGAAATGTACAGTTAAGTCAAAAATACAGTTTTCAGGGACTTAGCACAGACACAAAAAAATGCAGACCACCTTATAACAATTTTATGCTGGCTAATATTGAGAATATTTTGTATATGTTGGGTTAAATAAAATATATTAATAAAATTAACTTCACTTATTACTTTTACTTTAAGGGGAGTACTAGATTTTAAGTTACATATGTGACTCTACTGTATTTCTCTTGGACAGTGCTATTCTAGATTCAAAGTTCCTTTAGGAAATGGCCATTGTTTCTTTTATCATTGAATCCCACAAGACCTTGCACAAAGCACCTTTAAAAAATAAGTTTACTGCCGAAACCGGTTTGGCTCAGTGGATAGAGTGTCGGCCTGCGGACTGAAAGGTCCCAGGTTCGATTCCGGTCAAGGGCATGTACCTGGGTTGTGGGCACATCCCCAGTAGGAGATGTGCAGGAGGCAGCTGATCGATGTTTCTCTCTCATCGATGTTTCTAACTCTCTATCCCTCTCCCTTCCTCTCTGTAAAAAATCAATGAAATATATTTTTAAAAAATAATAATAAGTTTACACTGAATGATTTGTCCTTTTTCCATGTGCCTCCCAACCCTGTTTTCTGACTTTAAAGACTAAATAGAAAACTCTGTTAGAAAAGATGTGGGAAATGAGTGACAAAGGCAAGACTTGAAGGTGTCCATGGGCTAATTAGATGACTAAACTTGAGAGTTTACTTAAAAAAACCACCCACTGGTTAAATTACTGTATCCTCTCCCATTCCCCCATGTAGGAAGTAGATCCTAGATGTTGTATGAATTCAACAAATATTTATTGAAAAAATATGCAGAGAATTATCAACTCATAAGAATTTCCTATATAGTAAGTTGAGGCAGAACAGACATAGCAGCAAGGGCTAAAGTCACACTTAAAAACACACACACACACACACACACACACACACACACACACACACAAAATGCAGCCCTGACTGGGTGGCTCTGTTAGTTGGAATACCACCCACACACCAAAAGGTTTTGGGTTCAATCCCCAGTCAGGGCACATACGGGAGGCAACTGATTGATGTTTCTCTTTCACATTGATGTTTCTCTTCCTTCCTTCCTTCCTTCCTTCCTTCCTTCCTTCCTTCCTTCCTTCCTTCTTTCCTTTCCTTTTCTTTCTCCCTCTCTCTCTCTCTCTCTCTGTCGCTCTCTCTCTCTCTCTCAAAAATCAAAACATATCCTTGGGTGAGGAAAAAAAAAGAAAGAAAAACCGAATGCAGACTGTTAGGAAATGACTATGGCAAAAGAGAAGCTGGACAAAAGGAGTATTCAAAGAGGAGGTAGCCCCCTTCAACTTATTGATCAACTAGACTACAGAGGCAAAGGGAAAGGCTAAAACAGAAAAACGACATAGGCCACAACCACTATCACTGCCACACATGTGAAAATGTACCTGTCTGACCAATGCCACCAGTAATTTCAATATAAAACAAAAAAAAACATAAAGATACCTGAGCTCAAGTTCAGACTCAAAAACAGGTTCCTACTCTCCTAAATGTTAGGATACTCTCACCAGAAAGTGTAAACTAATTCACTCGGATCTAACACAATTTGAGACACCAACTTTCACTCCCATCCTCTTTAAGGAACATATGGAAACAGTTCAAACAGCTTGATTTACAGACACTGGATGTGCCGCGGAGAAGGGGGTCTTTCACATGTGGTCGTTAACACTGAAATCAATGCTGTACTCATCACATATAGTTACTCAGAAGAGGGAACCAGACTGGGCAGGCCTTTAACAGGAAGAACACTATTATTTCTAGAAAATAAATTAGAACCAATTAAATTTCCACAATAATTTAGAACCATAGAACATCCTGCAAACTTTGTGTGAACAGGACTGTTTTAATGAACACAATTCCTAGTTTAATGCATCAGGAGATAAAACAGTACTAACATAGGAAGTAAAGAAAGTTTTCCATCCAGGAGGAAAAGGAACACACCATCTACGTTAATCTTCCTCCTTGCCTTTCCTGTTAGTTGCTAAGTCTCTCCGCCTTGTTTTCCTTTGGGAGTACACATGGGCTTGAACTTGTAAAATGTGAAAAAGGCAGCTGTCCATGGAGGGCAACCCTAAAGATCTCCGTGAGAGCACGACCTTGGGGAAGTAACCTTCACCTATTTGTCATTCGAGTGTTTTAATTTCATTGTGCTTCAAGGTTGACTCTGTCACCTCAGAAGGGTCACAAACTGCTCCAGCTTCCTTCCCTCATCTATAAAGTAAGGAGAGTAACTGAAGATATAAAGGCAGATCAGTGACGCCGACAAAACCTGATTCTGTGCCTCTCCCCCTGTAACACCGTCACTGCATAATTCATTTCCTTATATGGAATGACTTTCATTACAGAAATATGGGTCAGAGAAATGTGATGGACACCATGCTAAGTGGGGAACTTAGCTAGATGTTAGTGCATGGTGGTATGAGCCAATCTTGAGGAAATGCAGATACCGAGTTACATAGGATGGATGCTTCCTTGGATTTGTGATTTAAAAAAAATTATCTAATTGGCATCTCAGGTGCCGAGAGTAACCAGAAATGTATTCCTTTAAGTGGCATTCCCTTCTCTAAATTTTACTTCTAAGAAAGTCAAATGAACCCCTGAAAGACAAAGGCTTAACTTAACTGTGAAAATTGTAAGCATTTTTTTTACTGAGCTCTTTAAAAATGGCGTTTTAGCTCTACAAACTCTACGAACCTGGACCGCGATGCTTTCTACATCCTTCTCCCCTTGCTGTAGGTCTTCGATTTTCTTCCAACAGCCTTTGAGGTCACTCTGCAGCTGAGACACCAGGCGGCGCTTCACGGAGTTGCTGCCCAGCAAACGCTGCACTTCTGCTTTCAGCCTCAGGATCACCTCATCGTTGGAAAGCTCTTTATCTGGGTCTGCTTGCTGGACCATGCTAATGGAGAAATTGCCATGTTTAAAATTAAATCAAGTAACAGATCAAGCATGGTTATTCCTTAAAAGCTACAACCTGAAGGGGAACCCTGAAATACTTTCTAAATAATGTATCAATTATTTGACTATTCTGATGACTAGATGGTTGTTATATTAAATTTTATTAAATTTTTTTTTTAAAAAGCTACAAACTGCAATGGCGGCCATGTGTTGTGACCTATACAATCCTATGCCAGTATTTCAAAAGCAATTTTAACCTTTGTCAGACACAAGGCCACTTTGGCTACGTCCCCATATACAGGAATACATTTATTCCTAGGAGGACCGTTCCTAAGCTTAGTCCTGCTGCCCCATTGCAAGGTCAGCCACAGGAACTTCAATAGGGCACGTGCTTTTGTTTTTGATAAGCTGCACGAGGTATATGCATATATGTGTGTCCTTGAGGACTTCGGGAGAAATACAACAAAACAACGGAGGAAAAAACAGTAAACACAAGTCATCCTAATCTACAATTTCTGTATCCCGTTTACTAAAACACAAGTCTAAGCGGATATCTGAACAACTGGAAAAAAATAAGAAAAATAAAAGAATTTTAATCCCAATTTTAGTTTCAATAAATTTCAAAACTGCAATGAGAATTTCTGCTCCTTCTCGTAGTGGGTTAAAAGAACCAGATTTATCTTCCCACCTTAAAAAACTGGAAAACCAAATAAAATATATGAAGCAATGGTTTCCGGTTGTTAGGCAATGGCAGCATAGCACAGTGATCCCTGAGAAAAGAAGAGCAGATAAGGGGAGTCCTCAGCTGCCACCGCTTCCTGCCTGCGTCCTCCAGGGTGGAGCACAGGGAGAGTGAACCCAAACAGGACCCAGCAATCTCACTGAGTTGCAAAGACCACAGTTTGGGGAGGACAAAATGGCTGGAATTTGAGGAGGAAAAGAAAGCCACACAGAAAGAGAGCTCTAGAGCGCTCTGTAGGAATGTCAGGAAGTTACCTCAGGACCAGGAAAAGAACAGAGAGGGAAGTACCTGCATTCCAATGAGCCACAGTGGGAAGACCTCCCAATTTAGAGCATCAAATATTGCCTGAGTAATGGGGCCAAATAAGCCCCAGATTAAAGGCTGCTCTAAACCTAATCTCACAAAACCTATAAAAGAGCCTCAAAAGGATAAAGTGAATTCCAGGTAACTTAACTGTGTCACAGGAAAAAAATGACAGTATTTTAAAATATACAGTAAAATCTAACTTCTAAAATAAAAATTTTAAGTGTCCAGCACCCAATCAAAATTTACCAGGCACGCAGATAAGCGGGAAAGAAAATAACCAGGAGATAAATCAATCAATAGAAAATGAACCAGAAATGACACAGGCAATAAAATTAATTAAATATACCATATGTTTAAGAAGGTAGAAAAAAATCAAACATGATGAGGATAGAAATGGAAAACATAAAAAAGATCCAAATTGGACTTACAGAGACAAAAAAAAAATGATAATATGGTTGCCTAGAGCTGTGTGGGCAGGAAGGGGTAATGGAGAATAACTGGCAATGGGTATGGGGTTTTGGGGGGGGAATATTAAAATGTTCTAAAATTCGGTTATGGTGATGGTTGCACAACTCTGTGACTACACTAAAAACCACTGACTGTACTCTTAAAATTGGTAAATTTTATGGTTTGTGAAATATATAAACAAAACTGTACAAGAAAACAAACAAGCACAAACACTATATGAGTTCCATTCGTATGAGGGCAAACCCAATCTATAGTGTTTAGGTATGAATATTAGGTCTTGAAAGGATAACAACAATAAATAAAAACAGAAAATTATTGCCATAAGAGTCAAAATAGCAGTTACTCTCCAGGCTGTGACTGGAAAGAGGACTGTGGGCAGTTTCTAGACCTGGGCAGTGGTTCCATGGGTATTCACTTTAAAATCATTCATTAAGTTTATGCTTCAAGCACTTTTCTTTATGTGTTGTACTTCACAATTTTAAAAGGTTTAAAAAGTAAACTAGACTATAAAAACACTAGAAAAATACCACCAACAAGATTTTAAACAGGAAAAATAATAACTTTCAACACTGGTTAGGTACATAGAAATAGGTACTGTCAGGATGTGGGAAACAATGCAAACTACAGGGCTACTTGGCAACATGTATCAAAGGCCTCACATAATGTGCAAATCCTTTAGCAAGAATATTCCTCCACATCTTAAGGAAATAATCAAAGATGTGAATAAAGACTTGGCTATAAGGATGCTTGTAATAATAATGTATTATTTACAATTTCAAATTTTTTAAACAGTGTGTCACTAACTAAAATATATTACACTCATCCACATATCCATTAGTAAATATCCTATATAATAAAAGCCTAATATGCAAATCGACCAACCGGTCGCTATGAAGTGCACTGACCACCAGCGGGGCAGACGCTCAATGCAGGAGCTGCCCCCAGCCCTCAGGCCCCAGGCCAGCCAAGGCAGGTGTCAGTGGGGACCCCCCGACCACCCCACAGAGGGAGGCGACCGGCGGCGGTGGCAGGGGGCAGGGCTGGGGAGTAGGCAGCACCAGGCGGGCCATGGTGGGTGCCAGTGGGGACCCCCAATCACCCCACCGGTCGCCCCACAGATCAGCCCTGATTGCTGGCCACGTCTAGGGACCCTACCCGTGCACGAATTTTGTGCATCAGGCCTCTAGTATATAACAATATCTACTGACTAAAGATTTCAGAATGTACTAAGGCACATTATAAAACTATATTCTACATTATTTTATCTCTTAGAAACATCAAAACCGATGTGGAAATTATATACCAAAATGTGTCTTGGCCAGTATGGCTCAGTTGGTTGAACATCGTCCCAGGCACTGAAAGGTCACCAGTTGGATTCTCAGTCAGGGCACATGCCCAGGTTTCAGCTTTGATCCCAAGTTGGAGTGCATGTGGGAGGCAACCGATTTAGGTTTCTCTCTCACATCAATATTTCTCTCTCTCTCCCTCTCCCTTCCTCTCATTCTCTAAAATCAATAAAAACAGATTTTTTAAAAAAGACACTAAAATGTTAATAAAGGTTTTCTTCATGGGAGTTGAAGTAAGATTATAAGTGCTTTTAATTTTCTTGTTTTCTCACTCTGTATTTTCTATTTTTTTTCCCATAATAAAGGAGAAAGGTACTTTAAAAAATAAATATTGATAGCATGTACCCTTAAAATGATGTTAAGAAAATGGAACCTTGTTGCTGTGGTCTTCCTCCACAAAACCCAAAGGAAAAACATAATTGTGAGATAAACAGAAAATTCCAATAGAGGGGCTTCCTAGAAAATAGTTGACCAGTATTTCTCAGAACGGTCACAGTCATCAAAAAGAAGGAAATTCAATAACCAATGGACACAAGACAATGGGGGGTAGGGGAGGCCAGGGGAAGGTCAAGGGGGAAGAAAAAAAAAGGAGACATATGTAATACTCTTTGTAATACTTTAAGCAGTAAAACAAAATTTAAAAAAAAAAAACCATTAAGTTTACTCTGAGCATCTTAGAACTGAACAAAAAATGTAATGGCTCCCTATTTAGATAATAAAGTTTTTTCCATGAAAATTTAAAAACGCCCTAACCGGTTTGGCTCAGTGGATAGAGCATCGGCCTGCGGACTGAAGGGTCCCAGGTTCGATTCCGGTCAAGGGCATGTACCTTGGTTGCGGGCACATCCCCAGTAGGAGGTGTGCAGAAGGCAGCTGATCGATGTTTCTCTCTCATCGATGTTTCTAACTCTATTCCCTCTCCCTTCTTCTCTGTAAAAAAATCAATAAAATAATATATTTAAAAAAAATAAAGAAGGAAATTCAAGAGGAACTAAGGAAATATGACTCCTAAATACAATGTGGTACCCTGTCATGTGATCCTGGGACAGAAAAGGGACATCAAGTAAAAACAAAGACCATCTAAATCAGTGATGGCGAACCTTTTGAGCTCGGCGTGTCAGCATTTTGAAAAACCCTAACTTAACTCTGGTGCCATGTCACATATAGAAATTTTTTGATATTTGCAACCATAGTAAAACAAAGATTTATATTTTTGATATTTATTTTATATATTTAAATGCCATTTAACAAAGAAAAATCAACCAAAAAAATGAGTTCATGTGTCACCTCTGACACACGTGCCATCACTGATCTAAATCAATCATGGATATATCAGTCAATGATACTATATCAATATTATTTCATTAATTGTAACAAAGTACTGTGCTGATGTAGGATGTTAATAGGGGAAAATGGGTGCAGAGTATACAAAAACTGTATTATTCTAATTTTGTTTAAATCTAAAACTGTTCTAAAATATTAACATCTATTTCTTAAAAACTAAATAAATAGTATCTGAGTCAAAATTTTTACTGTTTTCAGATTCAAAAGATTCCAAATGAAACATTAGTATATATGCTACATGTACACATACTCACGCATACAGAGAGAGAATTAAGAACATATATAGTTTTAACATAATAAAAGGAGCTCCTTCCAATATGCTACATACTTATCGATATGCTGTTCATATATGTGATATTTATGTATCACAGTGTCTATATAGATCTCAGTGTATGTAAATATATGCCTGCATATATATATACTAGAGGCCCGGTGCACAAAAATTTGTGCACTCGGGGGGGAGGAGGGTCCCTCAGCCCGCCTGTGCCCTCTCGCAGTCTGGGACCCCTCGGGAGATAACGACCTGCTGGCTTAGGCCTGCTCCCGGGTGGCAGAGGGCAGGCCCAATCCCTAGGTGCAGCCCCTGGTTGGACCAGAGCAGGGCCGATTGGGGAGTTGGGGTGCCGCCCCCTGTCATGCACAGAGCAGGGCGGATTGGGAGGTTGCGATGCCACCCTCAGTCACGCTCAGGTTAGGGCTGATTGGTGGGTTGGGGCACCGCCCCCTGTCACACTCAAGGCAGAGTCGATGGGAAGGTTGTGGCACCACCCCCTGTCACGCACAGAGCAGGGCCCATCAGGGGGTTGAGGAGCTCCCCCCTGTCACTCACAGAGTAGGGCCGATAGGGGAGTTGGTGCACCGCCCCCTGTCACACACAGAGCAGGGCGGATCAGGGGGTTGGGGCGCCGCCCTCTATCACCCACAGAGCAGGGCCGATCAGGGGGTTGGGGCGCCGCCACTGTCACACTCAGGGCAGGGCCGATGGGGAGGTTAAGGCTCTACCCCGTCACACACAGAGCAGGGCCCGTGGGGTGAGGGGGTTGGGGCGCCGCACCCTGTCACACAGAGAGCCACAGGGTGATCAGGGGGTTGGGGAACTCCCCCCTATCAGGCACAGAGCAGGGCCGATCAGGGGGTTGGGGTGCCTTCACCTGTCACGAACAGAGCAGGGCCGATAGGGAGGTTGTGGCCCCGCCCCCTGTCACACACAGAGACGCAGGTCGATCAGGGGGTTTGGGCACTGCCCCCTGTCACACTGATCCCGGTGCCGGGAGGCCTCTCAGCTCCACTGATCCCGGTGCTGGGAGGCATATTACCCTTTTACTATATAGAATAGAGGCCTGGTGCATGGGTGGGGGCTGGCTGGTTTGCCTTGAAGGGTGTCCTGGATCAGGGTGGGGTTCCCCACTGGGGTGCCTGGCCAGCCTGGATGAGGGGATGATGGCTGTTTGCAGCTGGTCACACATCCTTCAGGGTGGGAGTCCCCACTGGGGTGCCTGGCCAGTCTGGGTGAGGGGCTGATGGCTGTTTTCAGGCTGGCGGGTGACTGAAGCTCCCTACTGCTCCTTTTTTTCTTTTTTTTTTTATTCTGGGCCAGCTTTAGCTCTGAGGCTCCAGCTCTTAGGCCTCCGCTCCTGAAAGCAGGTATCTGGTTTGTTTCGGTTCTATAATCGAAACTCTGTATCAACTCCAGCTCTGAGATCCCAGCCGGCTGAAAGCTGGTTTCTGGGGTTTTGTTTAGCATCTATATTTGTTACAATGTTTGAAACTGCAGGCTCAGAGGCCAGCTAGGCAGGCGGGGAACGTTGTAGTCCTCCGTCACTGAAGCAAGCAAGCCTCATGTTAGTTTCAAGCTGCCTGGCTGCCGGCGGCCATCTTGGCTGGCAGTTAATTTGCATATCTTGCTGATTAGCCAATGGGAAGGGTAGCGGTCGTACGCCAATTACCATGTTTCTCTTTTATTAGATAGGATAGATCTCACCTATTTTAACCACTTCTATCTATATAGAAACAGAATATGTAAATATAATAGAAATAGACTTATATAAGAAATAGAATATAAAACATATTGAATGCATCTGCCCATACTGTGAGACATGGTGAACTGACTTTAAGCAGAACACTTATTTTGCTCAGTTAACAAATTATGCATCCCTCATTTCTTTCCTTACTGACTGCTGACCACTGAAACAGCACATCGTGTACTCCTGGAGGGAGCCAAGTCAGAGAGCAGAGAAAGTACTTGCTAAAATAATTTTCTCTTCTTTTCCAAAAGGGAAAAGTCAACGGGGGTGACCAGCCCTGCATAAGGCTTACTACTGAGCCCTGTGGAAGTTGGTTCCCCTGAATCCAAATAAACTGTAGTCCCTTGTGAAGCCTGCTGAGAAGACCAAAGGGAAAAGGCATTCCACTTGTTAAATGTTTATTATTTGAGCTTCGCAGCCAACTATAATAAGGGAGAGGAGAAGCTGTCTGCAAGCCACATGCAGATTTAGTTACTCAAATTCCACGAATGTGAAACAGAACACTGAGACTAAACCCTTCACATTTACCAGGCGGTAGCTTGAGCGATGTAGTAGCTGGGGATAAAAGCTTGGAGCCGCTAATAATTGGGGCTGTGATTTGAAAGCAGCTCAAGTCAACAAAGAACTAAAATTCTCTACAATGGGAAAACCATTGCTTCCTCTTTTCTAAGAATCACAGGCCAGCAGAGGAAAGGTACAAATCTTCTCTCCTATTACAACTCTCACGTTGATCTAAGAAGGAATAGTTCTACTTTCTCCTCTAAACTGAATTCTTATCTATTAGACTGCGGGTAGGTGGGATGACTGTAGCTGAACCTTTCTTCAGATATCCCGTGTTTCACTGAATTCTTCTCAATGACTGAGCTTCAGTGACTACCCACTATGTGTTAAGTTACTCTCCACTTTCCCAGTTGTACATGGCTGGTATTCCTTTTCCCATGACAGAGATGTGATGTCTCAGATTTATTATCTATGGGAATGGGTTTTAGATTACTATAAGATTTTAGCTATGAGTATTATACTTAAGTAGAAAGAGAAAAAGTAGAATACATTTTAGTAGACATTATGATGAAGTCAGTCTACTTGAAAATATATATATTATATACATACATATAATATATATACATATTATTATTTACCCAATTTCCAAGCTAATTATGGCATAAACTAAAGCAATAACATACAGTACTGAAAAGAAAGCTTTTCTGGAGTGAACTAAATATTTAAAATAGAAGACATAAAGAATGACGTTTAAGGCCAAATGGTTTGACTGTCATATAAACACAGAACAGCAGGTTTACGTGACAGTGAAGTTTGGGGTTCAAGTACTGGCTCTGCTGATAATGGTCTACTTTCTTGGGCAGAAGAGTTTAGCTCTTTGAGCTCTGATTTTCCCAATTCTAATGTGATGACTGATAACGGATCTGACACTTTTCTCAAGGTTGAGATGTGGATCAAGGACCTTTTATAAAGAATGTGTTGAGTAAGAAGTGGATTGATATAAGATCTGATCAATGGTGTATTTTAACCAATCACCTATTAAATAATAATAGTAACACCTACCGTTGATGAAGTGCCTCACATACTGGAACATATTACATAAGGTCCTTCTTATTCATTATCTGTTTTAATCCTCACTTGAACCCCCAAGATATACCCTATAATCCACTTATAGAAAAAGCCAGATAAGAAAACTGGCTTAGAAAAGTTAAGAAAATTGCCCAAGGTCATAAAGCTACTAATAAATGGCAAAACTATTATTCAAAACAAAATCTGAATCATCTGGCATCAACAGGAAATGAGGCATTCACAACAGTAAATTTTCCAGATGACATTTTTAACTTTAAATTTTTATGTAAATCTGTCTAAAAAATGTAACACATACATCCTCTTGCACTTTAATTAACTAACCACGCTGACAGCTTTCTTGGACAACCTGGGACCATGTGGATCAGCAGCTCCATCCAACCCATTGTGCTCCCATAGACCTCTCCTTGCTGCGCTGTCTGGCTAACCCATGGAAGTACCTCTCCCAAGCCCTAGCCCCAGCTACTCTTCCATCAGATAACTCATGGGTACAAACAAATCCAAGTCCGTAATGGCCCTAGGCTAAGAGCCTGACAATGACTCCAATGAAATACACCACATGATTTAGTTCTATGATTTTCTTCTTTGCTTTCTCGCGGATTGTAGCTGTGGTCTTTAGAGATGACAGTCGCTAAAGGCTGACCTCCAGGTAAATGGGGCCTTACTAAACTAAACAACATATTGTTTCACAGTATTTCCTGATCACTTGAGATTTCAATTTACTGAATCTCATCTTACAGGTCTAAAAACAAAAGCCAGTACTAAAATATATAAGTTCTACAAGCTATTGCAGAGCAAACCCTTCAGGATACTTACATACTTGTACTTAGCTGCCTGATGCCTGAAGAACAACAGATAATGGACACTCCCACTAAACAATAATGATGGTAAACGTGGTCTTGAACTGGAAACCGGATGGTGCTGGTGTGGGCCAATGTATTCAAGGCTTTCCTTAGCCTGAACACAGGCTCTTCCAGACAGGCACCTCTCATCTTATCCCAGATCACCAGAGAGAAGGGGAAATACCCCTTTGTACACTAAGCATGTAGCACTTGGCTGCTTACAAGTATGTCTCCCCCTCCCCACCAGACAGAAGGTGAACCCCTGTGGGAAGGGACTGTCTATAGCTCATCTTCTGTACTCCACTCCCAGAGCCTTCATCACACCTTCCAGAAAGCAAGTGCTTCACAAATGTGCATCCTCTCCTCCATTCATCTTTTAAGTGTTTAATGATTCCTAAATATACTCCCTCCTCTAGCATTACCATGTCCTCCCCCGTCAGTCCCAGGGAGGGATGATAAAACAGTCCCTTCCATAGAACTGCTAAAATAGCTGTGTTAAAAATCCCTATTTTAAGACGAAATCCCTATTTTAAAAGGCCACAGTAAGGTTTCTAGAGAAAATTAATGCTTATTTTCTCATATACTACTGATAAATGCCAGACGCCTGCCTTCAACAGTGTTAATATAATAAAAATAATATGCTTCGCCTTAATAGTAAAACAGATCCATAACCTCAATTGTAGAATTTACTTTGTATATTTTAGCTAGTCATTTTTTTACCTTACTAAAACTGATGTGCCTATTGGTGCTGAAGATAGCGCAATATCAGTTCTTGAGGTTTCTGTTCATTTTGATATCAGACATTTGCACTTCATCAGATATTACTAAAACATACCGGGACCCCTGGTCAGCTCATCAGCTATTGCCTGGTGCCAGTTGTTTACCAAGCCTCATCAGCGTTAATAATGTAGACTCTTCTACAGTAAACTATTTTCTCCATACCTCTTAACTTCAGATTTCTTCCAGTTGGCTTTTTTAATACCCAAATCCACGTATGAGTCCATGAGTTCTGCGTTTAATTCTCCTTCTGAGTCACTTGGAAGTATTCCTAGTCTTGCAGCAGATTCATAGAGAGAAATTTCATCTTTTAGTTCTGCTAATTCTTCCTACAACACAAAATTATTAAAAGTTATTTTCATGATTTTCCTATAAGAAGGAATCAGGCATATTGTCTATGCTTCAAGAGAAGGCAGAAACGCTTCTTCAAATACACGTTAGCACACGTTAACTATAACTTTACAAAGGCCAGGGCGGATCAGGTTTTCCGCAAACCGAATGGAGGAACGAATACATGAGGAAGAACATGCAAGTCGGTTCTCTCACACCTCCCTCACATTCTGTTCTCTTCCATGAAAAGTACCCCTGGAGCTGAGGTACCGGTGGCAGCACTTTTGGGCTCGCTAGAGCAGGAGACAGAGTAGACTGGTTTCCCAGCAACAGCTGTCCTTCATGGTCTGCCAGCAGCAAAAAGGCACACCACCTCTCTCCAGTGGAGGGTCCCCTGGACCGCTACCTCCAGCAGGAAATGTCAGCGGCGCCGGAGGAGGAGGTGATAGCATCCCAGCTGCGCTGTAGGTTTTCATGCCTGTAGACAACCTTTTCTCTGGGGCACACACAGAGACAGGCCCCTGGGCTTGACTCCCCAGCCATAGGGGTGAGCCTGTGAACAACTCTGACGGGCTGCTCTGGAGATGGTCCACTGCCTTTTTGATGTAGAGAAATCCAAGGTTCAGAAAGGTGATGTAATCCAGCCACCCACCGTCTCTTCCAAGGGGCCATGCTCACCTGCAAAGCCCTGTTCATGCTTTCACTCATTGCATGTGCCTTCTGAGCTTGCTGCAGCTGGAGCCGGAGCTGAGCCACCTCCTGGACTGAGCCTAGCAGGGAAGGGTCACAGAATACACCAAACGTAAATGGCCAAAGCACCTATGGGGTACAGAAGACATGAATCCACTGAGGCTACAGAAGGTGGGATTCTGCTTTATTACGTTTTAATATCTATTCAGGTGCACACAAGAATAGTCAGGGGACCCAGAAGGCACAGGTCCAAGATTTAATATGGCTCCCCATATGTCTTTGGGAAGTTAAAAACATGGGCTACTGTGATCTTGCTGTGAATCAAATCACGTCTCCAGACCTGAACACTCTAGAAGTCCTTTAATAGGAGCATAACATTCCAACTCATAGAAAGCCAAAGTGAAAATTCTTTGGAACCCATTTCTATCCTCTAATAAGAAAACTACATCTGGATGCCTTTAGCTTCTTTCTAAATGTTTTTATTTCCGCCACCCTGACCTCCACAAGTGAAAGAAGCCTATTAGAATTATGCCTCTGAAACTTTAGTAACCTAGTATTATAAATGTAACAAGGGAGGGTCCCATTTAATTTTTTTCTTGTTTCTTTTATTCTTTTTTTTAATGTTTTTATTAATTTGAGAGAGAGAGGAAGGGAGAGGGATAGAAAGATAGACGCATTGATGAGAGAGAGACATCAACCCGCACACACCCCCACCGGGGATCGAGCCCACAACCCAGACACATGCCCTGATCGGGAATGGAACCCAGACCCCCTGGTTCAACCACTGAGCCACACCCACGTGGGAGTCAAATGAGGTGGGGGGAGGGGAGAGGATTCCATTTACAAGGGACTTTATTGGGTTTCCTCAAAAGAAAATGAGCATCTGGGAAATGTTTAAGCAAAGTAATGATGACATATTATGCAACTAAGAAAATCATATTTTCAAATCCTTTAATGGCAAGGAAAAAGTCTCATAGTTTATGACATGGGAAACAAAAGAATACTAAACTAAACCAGGAGGGGAAACCTAAATAGAGCATGGTCCAAATTTTGATCAAAACGCACACATTTAGACAATCTTTGACATTAGTACTTTTGACTTGTTTTGTTTTGTTTTTTAGAGAGTGGGAAAGGGAGAGAAAAACATCGATGTGAGAGCAAAACATCAATTGGTTGCCCTTGCACGTGCCCCAAATAGGGCTGGGGATAGAACCTGTAACCTCACTTTTTGGTGTGTGTTTTTATAAGAGAAAGCTTCTTTAGAAAGTTACAGAGGTAGATGATGTGAGCTTTAGAAGAACTGGGCTCAGGAAACAAGGCAGAGAAGCAAAAGAAGGGCCCTTGAAAATCAAGAGAAAGAAAGCAAAATACACTTAAAAAAAGACTCCAGTGGGCATGCTCTAGGGAGTAAAAGAATGAGCTAGGTGCTCTGTCTTGAGGGTTTTAAAGGTGGAGATCTGAGGGGAGGTCTTAGCAACAGATCTCAATAGAATATTCATCAGCTTTCCAGGTGTGTCCTTTCAGGGCTGTGGTCTCCACTGATTGGTGGGTGCCAGGGCAGGGGACCATTAATCCTTGCAGCTGGTCCTGATGTCAGCCCTGGCATGCAACGGAGGCCTAGACATTATCGCTAAGGAGTTAGTGCTTAAGGGAGTGGTTGTGCAAGGCCCTGCATGGGAGTCGAATGAGGCCACTCTTCAGCCCTTTGTCCCTCCTCTAAGGGGGTCTATCACATGACTAGCGGCATGCCAGGGGAGGAAAGGTCAGGGGAGGGTCTGAACCACATGACCATCAATGTGAAGGGTCAGGGAGTCTAAACCCATGACCAGAGACACTCCAGGGGAGGAAAGGTCACCCTGAGGCAGGTCCTTGTTTTCCTAGTTTTTCCCATTGCCAGGTACCTGGGGATTTCTGCCCAGGGGAACTTCTATACCTGGCCCCTCATCCTTGCTCTGCTCATGTCTACCACATTCCCCACTCCAGGGTCAGGGCTCTGATTGACTTTTGAATAACCCACTCATACCCATTGTACCAATAGTCAGAATTGACTTAACATGCCAAAATGTAACTTTCATATATGTATACTAATTAATAACCCCTGAGCTATTTCCACAGCACGGAAAATAAAAATTTGATTATTTTATTGCCTTTTACTCTAATAGCTACACTAATAAAAGACAAAAATGCAAATTGGCCATACCTTCGCTACACCTTAAGCCATGCCCACCTGCCAATCAGAGCGACTATATGCAAATTAACCCAACCAAGATGACGGCCGGCAACCACAGAGCTGGAGCGAGCAGGAGGCTTGGTTGCCCAGTATAGGAGGAAGCCAAGCTTCCCGCCTGCTGCGGCCAGCTCTGAGCTCCACTCAAAGCAACAAAGTTTCAATTATAGAAGATAAATAAACCCCAGATACCTGCTTTCAGCCAGCCATAGCCACGGAGCTGGAGCGAGCAGGAGGCTTGGGTTGCCCCTGGCGATGGAGGAAGCCAAGCTTCCCGCCCGCCCTGGCCGGCTCTGAGCTCCACTCAAGGCTACAAAGTTTCAATTATAGAAGGTAAATAAATCCCAGAATAAAAAAAAAATTAAAAAAAGGAGAGGCTGGGAGCTTCCGTCGCCGGGGGGCTTGGCCAGCCTGAAAACGGCCCTCAGCCCCTCACCCAGACTGGCCAGGCACCCCAGTGGGGACCTCCTACCCTAAAGGGTGTGTGGCCAGCCTGCAAACAGTCATCAGCCCCTCACCCAGGCTGGCCAAACCTCCATGGGGTGAGGGTCCCCACTGGGGGGGGCTTGACCAGCCTGCAAACAGCCATCAGCCTCTCACCCAGGCTGGACAGGCACCCTAGTGGGGACCCCCACCTTGAAGGGGGTGTGGCCAGCCTGCAAACAGCCATCAGCCCCTCACCCAGGCTGGCCAGGCACCCCAGTGGGACCCCCACCCTGATCCGGGACACCATTCAGGGCAAACCAGCCGGCCCCCACCTGTGCACCAGGCCTCTATCCTATATAATAAAAGGGTAATATGCAAATTGACCCTAACAGCGGAACGACTGATCAATGTGACACACACTGACCACCAGGGGGCAGATGCTTAATGCAGGAGCTGTCCCCTGGTGGTCAGTGTGCTCCTACAAGGGGAGCTCTGCTCAGCCACAAGCCAGGCTGATGGCTGCCAGCACAGCAGTGGTGGTGGGAGCCTCTCCCGCCTCCTCAGCAGTGCTAAGGATGTCCGACTGCAGCTTAGGTCTGCTCCCTGCTTATAAGTGGACATCCCCCAAGGGCTGCCAGGCTGCCAGAGGGATGTCTGACTGCTAGCTTGGGCCCGATCCCCCAGGGAGCGGGCCTACGCCAGCAGGTGGACATCCTCCAAGAAGTCCCAGACTGCAAGAGGGCATAGGCTGGGCTGAGGGACCCCCGCCGAGTGCACAAATTTTTGTACACCAGGCCTCTAGTCATTTTATAAAAATGAATAGGAAATCAAAACACTGCTGAAACTAATGATAGGAAGCATATTCTCAAACTTAATACCATGGAGACCATAGGAGAAATCTTAAGAATGACACCCCTAGATGGTGTGCTCAGTGGCTATAGTGTCTGCCCCTGGACCAAAGGGACATGAGTTCAAAATCGGATCAAGGGCACATAATGGGTTGCAGGTTTGATCCCCATTCCCCCTCCTAGCTCCCCCCTCCCCCACCACCTCCAGGAGCGTGCAGGAGGCAACCAATCAATGTGTCTCTCTCACATCAATGTTTCTCTCTCTCTCTCTCTCTCTCTCTCTCCCTCTCCCCCCCCCCCCTTCTTCCCTTCCACTCTCTATAAAAATCAATGGAGCCTGCCCGGTGTGGTTCAGTGGTTGAGCATTGACCTATAAACTAGAAGGTCACCGTTCGATTCCTGGTAAGGGCACATGCCCAGGTTGTGGGCTCAATCCCCAGTGTGGGGCATGCAGGAGGCTTCTCACCAGGGCCCAGGCGAGAAGCAACCAATCAATGTGTTTCTCTCACATCAATGTTTTTCTCTGTCTTTCCCTCTCTCTTCCACTCTCTCTAAAAATCAATGGAAAAATATCCTTCGGTGAGGATTGATTTTTTTTTAAATTATAAAAACTATAACTCACTGGCTTCAATTGATTAGGTAAGTGGCTATATTCCATTGTGAGAGGGAAAATAATTAAAGAAGTTACACAAAATGACAGAACTACATGATCAGTGATCAATTCCAAACAGCAAAATATAACAGGATTTCATATTGTTTTTAGCTTTCAGAGATAGACTCTACATTATAACATGTCATTTATTATTCAATTTTTGAACATTCAGCTTTGGCACATTTTCAAAAGCAGGTTATTATCTATGCGTGTGGCCTTCATTTCACTTGAAGGAAATACATTCAAATGTCTACTGCAGTTACCTCTGTGCAGTAGAATTATTGGTTATTGTTATTTTCTACCTTATATTGTCTGTGTTTTCCAAATTATCTAATAAATATGCACTAGCTCTGACACATGTATAGTAACGATGTTTAAAAAATTGTTACCAACGACCTTGATTGTCTTTTCTGGGTCTTTATAATTCAAGGCTCCTATGTTCTCTCTGCATAGTATACTAGCCTTCCGGGAGACCACAGAGCCTCAGACACCCACCTGAGTGCAGCAAGTTGGCACACTGGTTTTGACTCTCCTCTAGACTTCTGGACAATCTGTTAATCATCTCCGTCTTTTCTAATTTGGTTGCTTCTTGATTCCTTTCCAGTTGTTTCACCTTGTCTTTCAAATGACAGCAAATGTCTTCCTAAATAGAAAAAGTGTTCAAGAAGTCATTTTTATGATCCGTTATTAAGTATTAAACTATCAATTATCATTCATGATTGGGTTTTAAGTCAACTATAAAATCATCACATGGCAACATCACCTCCTCTACAAGGATAAGTGCACGGGACTGGGAGTCAGGCGAAACAAGTCATGCAATCTTGGTTGAGTCATCAACTTCTCGGTCTGTTTTTTTTCTTTTGGAATTACACTAACAAAGGTTGAATTCCATGATTTCTAAAGTGCCTTCTGCTCTACATTCACAAGACACTGCTGTTCTAGAACTAGGTCCTATTCAGGCCAAAGGAAAGGCAGTACATTCCTACTAGTATTTGCACTTTACACTGCCAGTGAAGTGTGTGTAGACACATTCAGGCATGCCACTCTGACTCTGAAGCATGGAGTTTCTATCCCAGGACAGCAAGGACACAGACAAACACACTCGACTCTGAGCATCCAAAAACTCATTAAGTTCTGAGCAGCTAAAAATAATCTTTCCCTCTTCTGAACTCCTTTTAAACTTGATCTGTTTCTCTCGTGTTTTTCCTTCTACCTTTTACATGTCTTATTTGTCTTCATAGTTTCCTTGCAGGTGCCTATGCAGTGCCTTACACATAGTATGTACTACAAAACAAACAAACAAACAAAAACTTAAAAATAAATGACAAAGAACAACAAATAGAATGAATGTGTGCACACACGTATGTGTGTAACTGTATGGGGATGTATAAATACAGAGCATGTATACAATGTATTCAAGTTTCTTAAAAAAAAAAAATGCGTTTGTGTGTTTGGGAGTAGTGAGTCATGGGAGTGCTGAGCCCCTGTAGGAGAAATCATCACCTCTCATTCAAAAAGGACTTCACAGGCTGAATTCCAGGCCAAAGGAGCATGAGAAAGGCAGAGAGGTAAATTGGCTAAAGTTCCCTGGAAAAAACCTGAAGAAATTAATAGAAAGAGGAAAATCAAGAAAGGGCTTTAAAGCAGAAAGCACTGGGGGCCTGATCCATAGGAAAACCTTACGCCTAATAATGCCCTAAGGATACCACTCCAAAGCACACCTCAAAAGGATACGCACAGTGCCCCTGAGCAGAGGAAAGGGACTCTGAAGCCTCCTGTTTTGGCTTAACAATTCATGTGAACTTTGTGTTCTAGTTCATGATGTAGCCATGTTTGCTTTAAATTTTTTCTTCTGAATTTGTGGGCAAAATGGAGCTCCTGGAAACTGCCCGTGTTTATCCAACCCTGCCAGCCTCTTGGCCACGCTGCTGATCCCCAGGCCAGCTCGGAAAGCAGGGCTCTCACGCACCGGAGTACCACGCAAGCACAGTGAGTGCCCTAAAGTCAATGACAGCGTGAACGTGTGTGCAAGAAGGGGTGGGGAGACAACTAACGTTTATGAGCTGGGGAAGTCATAGAGATTTTACAAGAGACTGCAAACTGGTTTTAAAAAAAAAAAGTAGATATGAAAAACATTGTAAACAAAAGGCAGACTGTGGCGATGATTTACCTACATGCATTAATCAATTAAATCATGCAGTTTCCTGTTGACAAGTTCAGGAAAACAGGTTACACTCATAAACTGTGCAACTTAAACACCAAAAACAAATAAAACAAAATGAATGGCTCCATCTTTTCCATGATTAGCATGAGTGATGAGAACACTCAGTTGAAGACAAAGACAGACATCTTTTAAGACTGAATGAGACAAGTGGGGTCAAAAAAGAGTAATAATAGCTGAGTCCATGGAAGCGAATAAAATTGAACAGATTTCTATGGCACAGCCAAAATGAAGATTAGGACGGACACACACACACACACACACACACACACACACACACACAGGTCTGAGAGAGTCCCTCAGCCAATAGAATGAGTTTAAATTAAATATAACATTAAAGAAAGGTAGGAAAGGGATCACGTGAAAATCATGACACAGAAACCAAAGTCCCTGACTTCACTGAAAGCTGAAGATTTCAAGACCAGAATGAAAAAAGGTTTTAGACCCTCAAGGAGATAGAGATCCTCCCATGACACTTCCATGCATTAGAGACACAGAGGCAGGGTAAAGGAGAGAATCTGGGAGACAGTTGGCCAGGAGCGAGTTCTGTCGCTGAAGAACACTCCGAGCAGCTCGTCTGCTCTCATCTTCTCTGTCACACGGGAGGACCTAGAGAAACTCAGCCAAAGTAACGAGAACTGTTACAATGTGTTGTGAGTGTGTACAATCCTTGCTACCCAGAAAAGCTGGTGGCTAAAAGACAACACTAAAGTAATATTATAATTTCACAAGCCATATATTTCTCAAAATATACTAGTTACAGAGACATTTTTAAAAAGCCCAGCTGTACCATGGATAGCTAAGTTAGGCAATCGCCGTGTTGAATTCTGTCTTTCAAAATATACTTAAATATACATCAAGCTAGTCTACATCCTGATGTTTAGCTGTTGTTCAATAAAGGTTTGCTGAACAGGTGAAATAATGCAATTAATCTACAACTGCAGTCGCTTCCCAGCAAGAATGTGTTTTTCATAAAGCAGTGATTTTCAACCTTTCAATCTGAAGAAGCTCCCTGGTCTTCTAAAAAAAAAACACTGCATATGCTCACACCCAAAGGAAACTCCTCCGCTGTTTCAGAGGATTCATCCATCTCCTGGGGCCTAGTCCCGACTGCCTTAGAGGATGCCAGGGTAAGACTTGCTTTAACCAGGAACACTTACACTGTGTGAGCATCTACTCTGTCAACACTGTGCACATCAAACACATAGTACATGGCACACAGTCATAACTACATGAGAGCCGCTCAGAACCCAGACACCGGCGAACGTATTCATTTACTGAATTACCCAGTTATTTGTTCCTTGCTACTTACTTTCTAAGACTTATTTTACTTTTCTTTGCAATCTGCTGAACAGAGTGTAGCAGGTAAGTGTTCACCCGGAAGGGAAATAACATGCAGCTCCCTCTGTAATAACCCTTATGAAGAAAAAGCAGGCAAGGGGTAAAATGCAGTATGTACATATGGCTACCGGTTATGTGAGAAAATCTACATCGACCCTCTCCATGTGGAAGAGACTCAATGCATTTTCAGATGACAGGCGGGCATCTCCCTCGCTCCTGGTGGATTTTTACAGCACTTCTACAGTCAGGAGTCTCAATTTCGATTCTGAAATTATATAGACTGGCCTTTCATTAAAAACACTACTGAGGCAACTGAGAGCAAAGGGAGAGCACAAAAGGGCACCATAATGAAACACTCCCAGGAAGAAACAACGATAAGCACTTTGGCATCGGCACTTTGCAAAGCAGTTGTGCAATTATACACAGAGGCCTATATCCGTGCTGTGCTATGCGATGCTATTTAAAAACAACAACAAAACAGTCACAGAATGTAACGGCAGAAAAAAGACCTTAATCAGCACCTTCAGTGTCTGGTTCAGGGGTCCGAAGCCCATTCAGCGCAGAGTCAAGACTTTGTTCTCTGCTCCGGACGGGGGCAGAGAATCGAGAATGGACGGGGCTCAGGAGCTGAACACTCAGGAGTTCTCCCAGCCCTCCCCGTAACTGTGTCTAAGATAGCAGAGAATGGAGACACCTCAAGTAACCCAGGATGCAAAAGCTGCCAGACTCCACTCCTCTCATCATCCAAGGAGGACCATTCTCCACGTCTAACTTTAACGCTATTCCCCACACACAACCAAAGTTAATAAAACTGTATTTCAAATTCCATTTGTCTATATATTATATAAAGTAAATTCTCAATAATTGTACCTAACCTTTGTCTTTCCCCACCCCTATATATGCTCCACACTGGTCAAATTCATAATACGTTTCTCTATAAAAAGAATAAAAACATATTTAGGAAAATGAACATAAATAAAAACTCATATAAATGTACATTAAAATAAAATAAAATGGTATACAAACAATTATTATTGCCAATAATGCATCTTCTATAGCTCTATCTAAATAATGGAAAATTTTAGAGTCAGCTATATAAATAAGAAATAAGAACCCAAATCAGAATAAATTTTTAGTGGAATTTTCCATACACTCACATCTTATTTTTCTTCTTCTCTTCCTTTGGGTTAGATTAGTTCTGAAACTGCATTAAGGAAAATGCGCTTTGAAATTTTATTCACTGAAACGATTTACCTGGAGTTTTGGAGCACAAGCAAACCCCCACCTGACTCACCATCAGCTTACAACATCCTATTCCCTTTGGGGCAAAAGTAATAAAAACTGTGAAATGTGCTCAAGTCTCAAACCTCAATAATTTTAGATCAGACTACCTTCCCTCGTTTACTATGCTAGTCTCAAAATGAACTCTTCTCTCAAGAACCATTTCTAGGCAGTCTTAATGATGGGCTTCTTACCAAACGCTGGGAGACCCAAGAAAGGTGTTCGAGTGGTTAAGCTCCCAGGACCAGCCCTCAAGCCATCTCCCAGAACACTCATTCCTTCCAGTCTGGATTTATTCCAGGACAGTATGTATAAACTAGAGGCCCGGTGTACGAATTCGTGCACCAGTGGGGCCCCTCAGCCTGGCCTGTGGGATTGGGCCGAAACTGGCTCTATGACATCCCCCGAGGGGTCCCAGATTGTGAGATGGCACAGGCCAGGCTGAGGGACCCCACTGGTGCACGATCAAGGCCGGGGAGGGACACCGGAGGTTGGCTAGCCAGGGAGGGACTGCGGGAGGACTCCAGGGTGTGTCCGGCTCAGTCCCGATCAGGCGACCCCAGCAACAAGCTAACCTACCAGTCGGAGCATCTGCCCCCTGGTGGTCGGTGAACATCATAGTGAGTGGTTGAGCAGCCTTAGCATGTCATTAGCATATTACACTTTGATTGCTTGAACGGCCGACCTGACAACCGGACAATTAGCATATGAGGCTTTTATTATATAGGATACCCTACAAGTAAACAACTAGCACTGTGAGAATCCATCCTACCACAGGAAGGGTTTCCAAAATCATGCCTGCCTTAGGGAGTATGCATAAATAAAAAATCTTTGTCTTTAAATTTTTACTTACAATAAAAAACCTACCGCAAACATCCAAAATTTCTATATGAAGAACCACAAAATGTCAGTTACAAGACAGAACGGCTTTGCTTATTGACAACAGTGGCTCATTTGAAATCATCCCAACCTGTTCCTTAAGGGCAGCCACCGTAGCATCCAACTTGTTTTGTAAGGACAGCACTTGCTCCTCGTACTTGTTGGTGAGGCCTGCCACGACGGTCTCGTGCTGCTCCCGGGCGCGCTGCAGGGACTCGGAGTGATGCAGGTCCAGCAGCTGCTGCTTCAGGCTTTCCAGGGCCATTTCCGTCGTCCTGGACTTCTTAATCATCTAGCAGACACACGACAGCCCCGTTTATTGTATGTGACTCTGTGCTCTCTTTATAAACATTAACCCCCAAAATCAACATGCTTTAATGACAGTAGAGAAGGGTCTCCCCATGGTGGCTCTGGTTCCTTAAGGCTTCCCTGTCTGGGACCCACCAGGCCCATAGGGGTTGCAAACATTATTCACTGAGAAGAAAGAAAAAAAACTGGAATTACCCAAGATGACAATGTGGGTACCAGACAAGGAACCTGCGGCAACTATACGGTCCCAGTGCTGTTTGCAATGCTCTGTGAGCCAAGTGTGGGGGGCAATCCAACTGTCAGGTCACAGAAAAATGACAACTGTTTCTTGAAAGACTGATGAAACTTGTCAATGGTCACTTACTAAAAACACCAGTATTTTGTAACTGTACAATTATAGCTTTCAAAACTGGCTCCCAAAATATGTCCATGTCCTAATTCCTAAAACTTGTGAATACCTTATGTTACATGGCAAGAGAAAATTGAGGTTGCGGACTGAACTGAAGTTGTTAAACTGATGAGTTTAAAATAAGGAGATTATCCCAGATTATCTGGGTGGGCCTAATGTATCCACAATAGTCCTTAAATGAGGAAAACTGAGGCAGAAAGGTCAGAACCAGTGACCGCTGGCTCTGAGGATGGAAAAGGGCCATACACCCTTTGCATGTAGCCTCTCAAGGCTAGAAAACACAAGAAAATGGATTATCCCACTAATACCATTTTAATTAGCTAGTTATTAAGAATACCAAAGAAGGAAAAGGGAAGCCAGAACATTATAGGCATGTCACTTGGGCAGCTTCACCAGGAAGCTGCAACTTTACACTCCCCAGGGACCTGCTGGCCCATTCCCTGCAGATTACTAGGGGAAGGGACTGAACAAAGGGAAGATGGGCACATGGGCAGTGAAGTTGGGGTGGCCTAGGGAAGGTGCCCAGAAGTAAAACCTGGGAACAGAAATCACTGGACAAAGGAGGCAGGGCTACTGCAAGCCCGCAAAAATTTGGGAATACATAATCCCCTACACTAGTGGTCAGAAAACTGCGGCTCAGCAAACCGCGGCTCGCGAGCCACATGAGGCTCTTTGGCCCCTTGAGTGTGGCTCTTCCACAAAATACCGATTTCTGCGCATGGGCCACGAAGTTTCAACCACACTGTATGTGTGCGCCCACACGTGGTATTTTGTGGAAGAGCCACACTCAAGGGGCCAAAGAGCCGCATGTGGCCCACGAGCCACGGTTTGCCAACCACAGCCATAGACAAAGGCGCTCTCTCTCGTGGCTCTTGGCTCTCTGGTCTCTTTGGCTTTGCTCCTGCCCATGTTCCCTCCATAGCCATGTGGCCCTCGGGACCCCACACGCAGTGGACTGCTGGACTGCAGCTGGGAACACAAACTAAGCTGGTTTAATGCTGGACTGGACACTGTTCCAACATGGGATGAAAACTCTGGGCAATGGCTTTCATTCTAGCCCTACTGACATCACAGCTACACTTCTTCTATGATGGGACAGAGGGAAATGTGACCTTGGAAACTCAGGGGGGTAACCCCACAGAAATAAAGCTTTCTACAATGTCTCAGCTTCCCATGGGGACCTCCGGAAATTCTTATTCCAGTGGCACCCCAAGAAGCCCACTTCCCCCAGCAACTGGCGGGGATGAGGGGATCTCCCTACCGCTAACACCATAGAGCTTCCAAAAAGCAACACAGCCCTATTCACACCTTAATTTTAGCCCAGTGAGACCCATGCCAGACGTCGAACGTCTGGAACTCTAAGATAATAATTTGTGTTGTTTTAAACCACTAAGTTTTTGGTATTCTGTTATAGCAGCAATAGGAAACCAAAACACGTGGTGATTCTGTTAGTTTTTTTTAATTTTATTCTTTTATTTATGCTACTTTATTTCTGATAAATGCAATTTCTAATTCAGAAGATTACAAAGTTATAACCTTTTACTACATAAAAAGAAATTCAACTTTTTAATCTAATAACTTTATCAGTTTTCAAAACTTTTTAAATACAAATAATGTACTGCAATATTGTGATTCCTAAGAAATATATATTTGGTCATTCAAATGACCAATGTATTTGGTCCTCATCTGCAATCCCTGGCTCACAGCTCCCAAAACCTTGGCATTTCCTAAGTATTAAGAGTGATAAAATGTCTCTTGTTGCATGAATGAGGTTGACTTTTCACCTGAGGATGGGGGCTGGTTGTGCTGGAACTTTCAGTCCCATCCCCTGACCTCCAAAGTGGGTAGAGGGGCTAGAGGTTGAATTAATCGTAGATGTCTGATTTTAATCAACCACTCGAGTCAATGAAGTCTCCATAAAAACCCAATCAGACAAGGTTCGCAGAGCTTCTGAGGTGGTGGACATGTGGAGATGCAGGGAGAGGGTGTACTCAAGGGGGCACGAAAGCTCCACATCCTTTTCCCATACCCTACTCCATGCCTCTCTTCCCCTGGCTGTTCCTGAGTTATATCCTTTTATAATAAACCAACTAGAGGCCCGGTGCACAAAAATTCATGCACTCAAAGGGGGGTGGGGGGAAGAGTCCCTCAGCCTGACCTGCACCCTCTTGCAGTCTGGGAGCCCTCGGGGGATATCCAACTGATGGCTTAGGCCCGCTCCCCAGAGGCCACAGTCTGGCCTCCCTCTGTGGGAAGCAACCGGCAGGCCGATTGGGCAGCTGGTGAGTGGCCGGCCCCACCCCCCAATCGCCCCTCCGCCCCCCAATCGCCGTCCCCTCTCTCTGCCTGCTGGCACCTGCCTTGGCTGGTCTGGCGCCACCCACTCCCCAGCCCCGCCCCCTGCTGACCAGTCATTCCGCAGTTCGGTCGATTTGCATATTAGGCTTTTATTACATAGGCTAATCTAGTAAGTAAAATGTTTCTCTGAGTTCTGTGAGCCTCTCTAGAAAATTAATGGGACCCAACGAGGGGGTCGAGGGAACCACTGATTTACAGCCAGTCAGTCAGAGTACAGGTAACAACCTTGGATTACAACTGGTGTCTAAAGTTGGTGCAGACAGTGTCAGAATTGATGAATTCCTGGACCTCCAGCTTGTGTCTGAGAATTGCTTGGTGTTGGTTTGGGGAGGAAAGCAGGGGAGACTTGGGAAAAGAAAACCTGTGAGCAGGGGCTTGGTAATCAAATAGCAGCGTGCCGTGGAAAGTTTTGTCCATGTACAAGCATCGAAAACAACAAACAGACTTGAGTGTGAGGGTAAGAGAAGAGACAGGCAAGGGAAAAACATAATCAGAACTGTACTTTAGAAAGATTAACCAGATGGCCATAAGAGAGAATTTGGAGAAGGGATAAAAGAATAGAGACTAGTAAGAGAATTTTGCAATAGATAAAATCCCAAATTGAGGACTTGTAAACAGAAATGAGGAGACTCAACAGATATAGCAGATGAAGGGGAACAGAGAAGCTGGGGTTTCTTCCTGATGTCTGATGTACAGATGGCTAGGTGGATGGGAGCACCATGCCTCCGAAGTAAGGAAACGGATAGCAGGCTTGTGGTGGAAGAAAGTATGAACTTCAAAGTTCTTCTAAATTTAGTCCTACCATACCAAAAGTTAAGTAACTAAATTTTTCATAAATAGTTAAAATATTTACCTGTTCTTCCTTGACTTGTAATGCTTGTATTTGGGTCTCCAGCGCTTTGATTTGTGCTTCAAGCTGTATCTCTCTTTCTTTTCCATTCTGAAAGAGTTTCTGTGATTCTCGAAGGCTGAGGGCCAAACCATCCTTTTCATCTAGGACATTAAAAGTGTTTATAGGAATAATATGTTACTGTAAAAGGACCCCAATTGTCACAATCTCTATCAAATATCAGATCTATATCACATATAAAAGTTGTTGCATTCAATTTAATTCAGATAACGAACTTTAGCTGATTTAGAGAAAAACAGAAAAGTTCCAAAAATGAATGCCTGAGTGACACCAAAAAAATTTAGAGAACCAGAACCTCTTCCTTCAAAAATCTGATTGTATCCCTTTGGGGACCAAAAGATTTCCTAACAATGACTTCAGCATCTATTTATTTGAGAAGCTACACAGATATGACAAAACCGTTAATCAGAAAAGAAATCTGAGGGCCCAGCCAGCATGGATCAGTGGTTGAGCTTCGACCTATAAACCAGGAGGTCATGGTTCGATTCCCGGTCAGGTTTTGGGCTCGATCCCCAGTGTGGGACATACACGAGGCAGCCTATCAATGATTCTCTCTCATCACTGATATTTCTCTTTCTCTTTCTCTCTCTCTCTCTCTCTCTCTCTCTCTCTCTCTCTCCCCCTTCCTCTCTGAAATTAATAAAAATATATTTTTTTAAAAAGGAATCTGAAGACTAATTACGTTCTATACATACTTGCAATGAACTCTTAAATTCACCTAACCTTAAATTCTTCCCACATACTTTATATGATAGCCTACAAATTCTTCTCTCAACATAAAATGTATGATCACTACAGAAAGATGCCTTTATCACTATCAATTAAGTTTGAAATAAGCTGGAGTGCAGTCACAAAATTATTCTATAAATGAAACGTTCAACATGGACCGAAACTACAGAAAGCACGAAGAGTAAGCAATTAGAGTTTGAATCTGTATTTACTCTGTGTGCTTTTCCCAGGTGTGGCTCCATGTTCTCCTTGGCATACCTGCAGGAGTTCAGGGTCACTGTCTCTTCCTTGGATTAAAACAGTGGTTCTCAACCTTGGCTGCACATTAGAATCACCTGGGAATCTTTTTAAAATCCTGATTTCTGGGCCTCATCCTCCAGAAATTCTGTTTCTTTGTTATGGGGTGAGGCCACAACATTAGTAACAAAGAAACAGAATTTCCGGAGGATGGGGCCCAGGAATCAGGATTTTAAAAAGATTCCCAGGTGATTCTAATGTGCAGCCAAGGTTGAGAACCACTGGATTAAATCATGATGCTAATTTGTAGGCTCAGAAAATATCTTGCAGACTAATCCCAAGTCTCACTGGGTATTGTAACACTTCATCCAAGATAAATTCCTCAACCAATTTTCAGGACAGGATGCCATCAGCATAGTTAAATAATGTTCGCTTATTCTAACAGCCTAACAGGTAGAAGAGGAGGAAGAAGCGGGGGGAAATGAGGACCTCAAAGCAGTTTGCTCTGGAGAGAAGTCATCCGAAGAAAGGTGTCACAGGCCTGGGTTCTGTTTCCTTCGGACCGACTTACTATGATCCCTCTGACCAAATACGTCAGCTCGCTGAGCTTCATATTTAAAATGAGGATCTTGGAAACAAGACATCTAAGCTCCAGCACACCTCATAAGTGACAGCTGTCATCTTACCTTTGATTATCAGAAGCTGGTGATTCAGATACCTGATCTGACGCTCACTTTCATTTAACTTTTCAACTAAATTGTCCAGTTGCCTCTCTTTTGCTTTGTTAAGAACCTGAAGTTGAATGATCTGCATATTTTCTGCAGAACCTGATTTGGAATGAAAGACAATTTATTAGATAAAAGCATACCAAAATATAAATCTGTGGTCATTTAGGGCAGTGTTTCCCCAAACTGTAGGTACTATTCATCAGAGTATCATGAAAACAATTCGGTGAACTGTGGCTAGCATTTCTTAAAGAAACAAAAAATATAGACTATAATAGAACATATCAGAGTCCATCATGTAGTACAAATGAGTACTATTTTGTGATTTTTGTGAAACATATGTTTTCGTTACATACACTTATTTACCTAGATAAGTATTGTAGACCCCATCACAATGTACAAAATGTACTTCATACTGTGCTCACTGCCAGAAAAGGTTGAAATGTCACTAATTCATAGAGTTTAACCCTTCATCACTACCCATTTGGCTAATTAAAAATAAATATATACGAATGTGAACGAAAATGTGTCAGGCTATGCAATAAACCTGACAAGCTCAGAGGAACACCTGGCAGGCTGACAAGCTCTGTGACCAAAAGTAACCACACAGATGATCTGGTCACATCCTAACTGGGCAGGTCACAGTGGGCAGTCACGACCCAGGCCTACGGCATCATTGGTAGAAGTCAATCTTTACCTTAAGGAAACCCTGTCCATTGTTCTGATCCATCCAGGACAACATGGCTTTGAAATAACAAAGTAATTTTCTTTTCCTACCCCTCGAAGGCACAACTGCAGGCACCAGAGCACAAGACCATAGAACCCTATTGCTATCTTGTTCTCCATAGGCCATCTCTATGTGCTGCAAATTTAATTAACTACCCCGTACCCACCAGGTAAAAGTATGTGTTTCTCCATTTTGCCTCTTATCCAATGCTAGAGTTTTTCCTGCTATGCTTTCTCGCAGCCCCTTAACCTACCGGCATTGGATTTCATCCTCCTTCCTTACGTCTTCTCCTTTGATTCTAATGCATAAAATAAGCTGCAAAGCTGCCATTCTCGGAGCATATGTTCCCCGGCAGTGCCATCAGTTGGCTCAAATAAACTCATAAAAATTCTCTACAGGTTTGGACATTTCTTACATTGACACCATTACAATGGAATAGAGTTCTATGACCTCATAAAATTGAAAAACAAGTACATCAGCTTCTATAAAACCATTTTTTAAAAACATTTCTAGATATCCTCCTCAAAATATCTATTATAAGCAGGAGTGGGGATTACATAGTATTCATGTTTATGCTGGCACATAACTGCTGAATTAATAAAGTAATGAATAGATTAATAAAGGATTTCGAGGACTTCTTTCACAAATAATTAAAGTCACATTAGGGAGCACTTTAAATGATTAGGGGGTGGGGGGGACTTACAGGAAAATAATGCTTAAACTACATAATGACAAATGCATTTTCTACTAGATCACTGCTCCTACTTTGCTAGCAAACAAAGCAGGCCTCTTTTTAAAAAGAGATATGGTTAAACCTCGCCCCCCTCCCCCCCCAAAAAAAAAACAAAAAAAAACTGAAGACTGAAAACTTTGTTAGAGGTTAACTTTCTCTCCGGCCTTAAAGGAGGGCTAGCCCAGGGGTAAACCCAGTGTACAAGCCACACCTCTCTCCAAGGTCATCTTTTTAAACTACTGTTTCTAAGAAGCTGCAGTCACTAAATCTGGCACTGCCATTAAGTTACTCAGTTAACCTCCAAATGTCAAATTTAGGCACATGTGTAACTGATGTAAACAAAAAATAAATCAACTTGACAAAATGCAGATTAAGAAAATGATAAAAGGTTATATATGCAGAACGACCAACTGACCATGGGAACTGAAGGCGTCTACACCTCAGGCCCCTGTGGTGGTGCTAATGGACACATCCCCAAACCAGTTCTGCCACTCACTGTCCACTTCCGCATCTCTTCAGGCCACGCCACAGTGGCATAAACAAAGAGGGGCCACCCCCATGTTTGCTTTGACTCCTCGAGAGCCTGTGAGTCTGGAGCCTGAGCCTATGTGGAGTCAGAGCCTGAAGGCTAGCTTTCTCTTTGGCCGTAGCCCAGGAAACCTACAATATCCAGTGTGACTCCCTCCCCCTACCAGCCCATTTCTTAAATGTAAGACAAACAAACAAAAAACTTGCTGTCACACCCTAGAATCACTATGGTTCTTCAACATGCACAACAATTAGCTTTTTCTCATGCCCGAGAGTAGACGATGCAAGTTGAATGTATGACAACACTAATTCAGGTCAGTCTAAGTAAACGTTTTGATTTTTGGTTTTGGGTATTTTATCTCCTCAAAATGCTCTCATAGCTACTTTTCTCATTTTCATATTTATACATATACAATCCAAAAAAAAAAAATGTTGGTAAGTGCCACAGGACGTTTAAACCTGAGATAGGAGTCCAGTTTCAATTCTGAACATAAAGTAATTTATATCAGAGTTGTCTAATTATTACATTAAAATTCTAAAAATCAAAAGGAAAAATTAAGATGATAATAGCTGATTTACTAAATTACATTTCTATATAACAAAAAATCTAGAATAAAGGGAAAACTATATTTCTTTTTCCAAATTAGACTTCAGTTAGAAAACTATAAAACTAATGAAAAATCTGAACCAATTACAATGACTCAAATGTAAAACTGAGAAAATTTTATTTTTGTTTTTATTATGGAAAATTTCAAATATATAAGAAGGTAGAAAAAAGAGCACAAAGAATCCCATCACCATATTATTTGAAGTAAATCCTAGACTTCATATCAGTTTATTCATAAATACTTCAGCTATATCACCAACAATAGGGTTCTTTTTAAAAACCAACCACAATTCAATCACCATATTTAAAAAAAGAAATAATTCTTGAACATGCATAACATGTTTAACATTCTCCAATCACTAAAAAATATAAACCCGAGACATACTTTCATTAGCTCCTAAGAATTGTTGTTGCAGGCCTTCAAATGTGTCACCTCCTGCTATCTCCTGGGCTGGCGAGTCACTGTGCTGAGCAGGAGGCTGGTAAGGTTTATATGCCACTGTATACGGTTCCAACACTTGACAACTGGGAGCTTGTGACGCACCGAATTGCTATTATAAGATGATAAATGAAATTGACAATTAGGATTTGGCCTTTTCCTCAAAAATTACCTGAATCACCTTAATTTTGTTACAAAACTTAATGGTGGTACAATTAAAATTTTGTACAGACATCTTTGCTTTAAAATAACTTACTGTTATTTAACACTGAAAGTCTATGAAATATAATTTCTCACGTCTTAATTGGACTTTTGAGCTTATCACAGGCCAATCCCATAAATAACACAGGAGAATTCTAACAAGACTACATAGAAATATTTAAGAATGATTTAGATGATGCCAACATCCTGGGAACACAAAAATACACATATCCAAGAACATGTAATACAATGCTTCATATGTAATAAATATTCAACAACTTTTGTGGAATGAATACTATTCTACAGAGACAGAAGAGAAAATGACACTTTAAAAGAAAAAAAATCATCCTGCCATTGGGGGACACAGAATAGATACTGGCAAAATGAGGCATTCATTATCATAAGAAAGTCTGAGAAACAGCTAACTATATCCTAAGGTCTTACTTCATTAAACTCTGACAGGGTTAAGTAAAACAAAATAAAAAAATAATTTTCCTTCACATTCATCCCATCTACTGCCATTATTATCACAAAACAGGTATCAGCTTTGAAGTGTTTGACCTAAAATGTGTTATAAGGGTGGTCACGATAATTAAATAAATAGATTTAATGCTTTAAAACTGTATCAGCTTTGGCCAGCTAGCTCAGTTGGTTAGCGCATCATCCCAATATGACAAGGTTGTGGGTTCAATCCCAGGTCAGGGCACACACAAGAATCAACCAATAAATGCATAAATAAGTTAAATAACAAATTGATGTCTTTCTTTCTCTCTCCATTCCACTCTCTAAAATCAATATATTAAAAAAAATAAAAAGCTATATCAAGATATCTGAACATAGCTTCTCACTAAAGCATAGTGAAGTGGTAGAAGCCTGAAACATCAGTAAATGAAGAATATTATTCTTTGACAAGCTTAATTCTTAACGTTTAATTAACTGTCTCCATAAAGCCTCTATGATATTTTAAAATTCTGACTTAAGATCATGATTTCGTTAGATTGTAAACAGAAACCAGCATGACTAATTCAGCATGAGCCTGAATAAATGCACTCTCAAAATTGTTTAGATTTGTAAATCTTATCCTTGTACTTATATACATTCCTTAAACAGACACGTGTGTGGGCACATTTAAGCAAACTCTTAAAAGTCAAGTTCTTATAATACCTGAAAATGATTCCTTTGAGGATCTGAAAATTTAATTACATTGGCTGGCTGATTATTAAATTCCTGCTTCTGACCATTGGTAAATGGCCTAAAGTCTTCAGGAAGGTGATATAAATCAGACTGTTCATATTTACTCGGAGGACTGTAACCCCTTCCGCCTTCATCTCCACCTTCTTCGGGATGGTACCCAGGATGCCGCTCTTCACTCTTACTTGGATTCTCTTCCCAGCCATTGCCGATCTTCTCTCCCATATATATATCCCGAATCTCATTATAGTCCTATTAGATAACAAGAGTAAGACAAAAGCACTAAGACCTAGTCCCACCCTCACCAAAATCATTATCACACCAGATACTCACGTTTGCACTTTTAGGTTTAGGCAGCACCTGATGGTCATTCCAGTTCACCTCCAATTGCTCAGAAGGATGAGGTCTTGAGAAAAATCGACACTTTAGATTTAGAGCTTATCATTTATTTGGACGCAGCTACCACAAAGAACCCCAAGATTTTAACATGTTTTCCCTCCAACCTTTACCTACAAGCTTAAGAATTAGTCCACAATTTTATAATCTCATACACTGTTATAACCTGCAGAGAATCAAAAGATGGGCACTTACAGAATGCAATACACATATGAAGATGATTCACGCCCTTACCGTCCCTCTGTGTCGTCCTCGCTGCAGTCCGAGGAGTGGAGCTCGGCGGAGGACAGGTCGTCATCCAGCATATCATGGGGCAGGTCTGTGAGTAACTGCTGCAACTGAGACGGGAGAGTCGGCGTCAATAGCACACTGACTTAGATCAAGACGCCAAACCAAAGCTGCCCTGGACCGAGTAATCAACTGCAGAAGTCAAAGAAGTTCCTAATGTCTACATTTAATAATGTCATCAATTCCTCACCAATTACTTTCACCATTTCACTTGGGGAAAGGGGAATAGATCAGTTCAGGATTTATATTAGAAGGCTTTATTTTTTTCTACAAAGGTTTTGGATTTTAACACACATAACATTGCATTAGAACTTAAAAACTTCTTTCTGGAAACACAGCACGTCATGATAAGGGTACAATCACTATTATGTTATCGCAGGGTAGATGTGAGTCTCAGAATCCTATTCTACCAGAAACCAGGCCTTGGGGACTTGATTACCAGACTTCCTGCAGGAAATCTGAACTGCCAGACTGGCTTTGCCCAGGTGGTGAGAACAGCAGAAAAAGAAGCAGGTGGCCTAGAAGCCCGTATTAAATGCTCTAAAAACGTGACAAAAACCTCCTAGGGAGTGATTAATTAGTAGACAGCCATCTAATCCCAATGATGAAAAGATATGCAATATTCAGCTGTTGTAAAACATTTGAGTAAAAAGAGATGTAAGATTCAGGTTTCTACAGGTTGCACTCTCAAAAGCATAACTCGAAAACTAACAATAAAAGCATCTGACTTTGATCTCCAATTTTTTTTTCTAGAAAACTCTTATCTTTAGCATTCTCACTATAAAAACTAGATATAGAATAAATTCATTTAAGTTTCCAGATAAATTGTGATAAAGAGATGAATGGTCTAATCTGTTGAATTTTAATATCTATCAGTAAATGTTTTTCCTCAAATCCCAATACATTATCAAATCCCAAAGTAACTGTAACAGATTCAAATACTATATTACTAAATAATTAAAAGACTGTTTATGATGCCTTCTCTTTCAAATTAAGCACCAGTTAAATAAATAAGTTGACTGAGGCCCTCCACAGTACATAAATCAATCCCATAAAATTATGCAATGAGTAAAATTTAAAGATATTAAATACTCTGTGTAAAAACCTGGAGGAAGAAAAGGAAACATTTCTTAGCCTATGACAGATTTTCCCCACTTTATCATTATAATAAAAAATAAAGTGTAGTTATAAAACATACCTGAGAATTACATTTATAATAAAAAAAAACTTTCATAAACTAAATACATATGGTAAAAGTTAAATAAAAATATTTTAAGAAAGGTCTGAAAGGTATGCTCCAATTGTTAAGTTCGTTTTGGTGAAATCAAACTTGGAAATGGAAAATAGGTGTGTACAGTGGGAAGGGAGGTATACTTCCTCACTCCCTTATATATTTCTAATATTCACTGGATAACTTTTTAAAAAAAAGATTTTCTCAATTCATTTGGTTCTTTACAAATATTCCTATATTAGAGAAAAATATTCTATTCAATGGCAAGTTATCTTCATTTGAAAATTTATTTGACACTAATATAAATAAGGCAGGCCTTGACTGATTGGCCACCTGCCCATGCAAGGTTATTGAAAAATCATTTTGAGAGTCAGCCATCACAGAGCTGATCCAAAGATATAAATAATAAGAAACACAAAAGAGACAATACTAAAAACCAAACAGAACATATCAAAATGTTAGTATATTACATGTGAGCCTCAAGTAAAAAATAATGTGATTTTACAAACACAAAATTTACTAAGAAGAAAAAAAAACATCTATGAAGTCTTTTTAAATAGTCTAACCTGTTATGTCGATAATTATGTATCACTGCTTTAAGGAAAAAGACTATGCCCACACATTATACAGGGGAAAAATAACAAATAAATATTTTATACTTACATCAAGTAAGGACTCCTGTACAGAAAGAATACTGTCTTCTAAATCTTCAGTGAGGTTCAAGTACATAGCCTTATAATTCAGGGGAAGTTTGACAGGGACATCTGAACAGTGCATTTTCCCCTCACAAAAATAGAAAAAGCTATGCAATAATTAAGGAGCTCTTGTAACTTTCTTTGTGACACCACAGGTGTAACTGAAAAAGCATTAACAAAATTGGTATCTATGAAGAAAATTTAATTGAGTATAAAAAATAAGTTCTGAATGTTTCTGGATCAGTAAGTAAACTTATCAATCAGCAAAATCATCCCTGTAGTATTTAATGCCTTATAAACTATTTTTTTAATGTAAGCTAACATTTGAAATCGTTTCCTTCCCTTCAGAAACGTTCTCCATTAACGTTTTTTGGCATAGCTGGGGCATATTCCCTTGACTTCCACAACTTTTAGGGCAGAGAGAAGCTAAATGAGGTGAGTCCTCATTCAGGTACAAAATCCCACCCCCAAGGCTTCCATTTTCCCAGGATCAAAGTGTACCCTTCTTCTTACCAGGTTGGCCCCAGGCCAGATACAGGCAGTGCCTGACCTTGGCTTGCATGAGAGCCCCACCCCAAGAGACCCCAGAACCAACACACCTGGTGGCCAGCTTCAGAGCACACCAGAGCACCACCCAATTAGTGCCACAGATGACATACCCAAAGGGTGGACTCATTGAGCACCAGAACCCCACTAAAGCAAATCCACAACAGCTTGTCCACTATAATCACTGCCAGTCCTCACAGACAGACAGCCTAAGCATCAATCCTATTCACTGATGTGCCAACAGCAATCAAGGCTCAACTACAACAGGAGGGCACACACAACTGACTCAGGGGAAATCCTGGAGCACCAAGATCAGGTAAATAGGGAGACTGCACCACTGCTAGATAAGGCCACTCTGCCAAGATTGAGAGATGTAGTAGCTCTTTCTAATAAACATAAACCTAGAGAGACAGCCAAAATGAGACAAAAAGCATGTACCAAATAAAAGAACAGGACAAAACTAAAAAAAAAAAAAAAAAAAAATGGAGGCAAGCAATCTGCCAGATGCAGAGTTTAAAACACTGGTTATAAGGATGCTCAATGAGCTTAGGGGAAGAATAAATGATCTCAGTGAAAACTTTAACAAAGAGATAGGGAATAAAAAATAACCAGTCAGAAATGAAGAATAAAATAACTGAAATGAAGACTACATTACTTGGAGTCAACATCAAATTACATGAAGCAGAGGATCAATTCAGTGATTTGGAAGACTAGGTAGAAGAAAAGACTCAATCAAAACAAACAAACAAAAAAAAGGATTAAAAAAAAAAGAGGATAGTTTAAGGAACCTCTTGGACAACATCAAGCATAACAACAATCACATCATGGGGGTACCAAAAGGAGAAGATATAGAGCTGGGGATGGAAAATCTATTTGAAGAAATAACAATGGAAAACTTCCCTAAGCTGGCAAAGGAAATTGACACACAAGTCTAGGAAGCACAGAGAGTCACAAACAAGATGAACCTAAAGAGGCCCACACCCAGACACAGCATAATTTAAATCCCAAAGTTTAGAAACAAAAAGAGAATCTTAAAAGAGAAAAGTAGTTGTTACCTACAAGGAAGCTCCCATAAAACTGATTTCTCAACAGAAACTTTGCAGGCTAGAAGGGATTAGCATGAAATATTCAACGTGATGAAAAGCAAGGACTTAAACCAAGATTACTCTACCCAGCAAGGTTATCATTTAGAGATAAAGAACTTCCCAGACAAGAAAAGCCTGAAGGAATTTATACTGCCAAACCAGTATTACAAGAATTGTTAAAGAGACTTCTTTAAGAAGAGAAAGGAAAAAATAAAAAATATGAATAAGAAAATAATGTAGAAAAAAATTCTCACTGACCCTAATAAAAGCAGCAGATAAAAAGCAGTGGATCAACCAACACTAAAGCTAGTACAAAGGTTAAAAGGCAAAAGTAGAAAGATCATGCATAATTACAACAGTAAATCAAGAGGCATATACACACATATACACACCCACACAAAAGAAGTAAAAAATAATGACAATAACAAACATGGAGGGAGTGAAAAAAAATGGTAGTGATTTTAGAATGTGTTCGAACTTGAGCAGACATCAACTTAAAATAGACTGCTATATACATATAGCATGGTATATATGCAGCACATTGTAACCACAAACCAAAACTCTACAAAAGCTATACAAGAAATAAAGAGAAAGGAATTCAAAAACAACACTACAGAAAGTTATCAACATATAAGAGAAAAGAACAAGAGATTAAGAAATGAGCCAAGAGCTATAAAACCAATCAAAAAACAATTAATAAAATGGCAATAACTATATATCTATCAATAATTACTTTAAATGCAAATGAATTAAATACTCCAATCAAAGGATGAATGGATAAAGACATGGTACATATATACAATGGAATATTACTCAACCATAAAAGATAATGTAATCTTACCATTTGCCAAAACATGATGGTATTGTGCTACGTGAAATAAGTCAGACAAAGACAAATACCATATGATTTCACTTATATGTGGAATCTAAAGAACAAAATAAGAAAACAAAACAAAAACAAACTTACAGATACAGAGAACAGACTGATGGTTGCCAGAGGGAAGAATAGTTGGGGGACTGGGTGAAAAGGGTAAAGGAATTAAGAAGTATAAATTGGCCCAGTCAGCTTGGCTCAGTGATTAAGCATTGACCTATGAACCAGGAGGTCATGGTTCCATTCCTGGTCAGGGCACATGCCTGGGTTTCGGGCTTGATCCCCAGTGTGGGGCATGCAGGAGGCAGCTGATCAATGATTCCCTCTCATTACTGATGTTTCTATCTCTCTCCTCCTCTCCCTTCCTCTCTAAAATCAATAAAAATATATTTTTTTAAAAGTACAAATTTTTGGCAGTTACAAAATAGTCATGGGGATGTAAAGTACAGCGTGTGGAATATAGTCAATATTTACATATGCTGTCAGGTGGGTTTAAGACTTATTGGGGGGGAATCACTTCATAAGTTACATAAATGTCTAATCACTAAGTTGCACAGCTGAAACCAATAAATAGTGAAAGTCAACTGTAATTGAAAAAACTGAAGAAAAAAAAACATTT